CTCTGGACTGTTACTGCAGACATGAACATCAGCCTCACTGACATTAATAACATAACACTAGAGGTAACTACTATTAGGCCTGCTGACTGTAATCCCATTACATTAATTTAACATAGTCCATAATTACTCTTATCCTAACCCTGTAAACTGAATTCATTTTGTTTCACCATTACCTGAGCTCTTGTTGTTGTTGTTGTTGCTGTTGTTTAATGTTGCTGCTGTCCCCTGTCTCTCTCTCACCCTTGTTCTCTACTCTCTCTCCCTCCCTCTCCCTTGCTCATTCTCTCTCTCCTTCCCTCTATCTTGTTCTCTTTCTCTCCCTGCCCTCTCTCCATCTCTTTCTCTCTCTCTCTCTCTCTCTCTCTCTCCCTCTCTTCCCCTATCTCTCTGTATTCCCTCCCCAACCCAGCAGTGGCTTGGTGGCTGTCTGGCATGAGTCTGGTCGTGCCCAAGGTTTCTGCCTGTTAAAATGAAGTTTTTTCCTTGCCACTGTTACTCATGTTAGATGAGATGGGCCAAATCCCATCTGAGATTGGGTCTTGATAATTCGTCAAACAATGAGCGTGGTCTAGATCTGCTCTTGTTCTTTGAAAAGCATCTTGGGATGACGACTGTTGTAAATTGGCGCTATATAAATAAAATTTGATTTGATTTGATTTGATTATGACTTCTCTAGTGCTTTCGACACCACCAGGCGGAGATCCTAGATAATGAATGATCTGACTGGCAAACCATTTCTCTTCATGGCTGTAGCTTATTTAAAAACTCTGCAATGTGTAAATGGATCTATTTCTAATATTCTACCCTTTTTACTGACTGTTGCAATTCCTTATCCATGCTTATTTATTCCTATACTCTATTAATATTTATATTTTCAAGAGTTAGTAAATGCTGTAACCCCCCCCCATTAATGAGCTGCTCCTGTGTTTAACCTGTGATTGAACTAACATTAGCTGTTTCCTTTTACATTATTATGTTAAAAGAAAACACCATTTACAGTGTGCTCTCAGTTTGCCTGCATGGATTCCTGTGGAGTGTGGAAAACATGCACCCTAATTTAAAGCAGTGAGGAAATGACATTGTGTTAGTGTGTGCACATGTCTTGAGAAAGTGTCGGTCTGATTTATGAGTGATGAACGTGCTGACTGACTACATGCCTCACTGTGTGTCTTTGACATGTTATATTTGTCCAAAGAGGGTTGTCTTTATAAACTCATGGAAAAATTCAAGTGGCAGAAACATACCTGACACGGTATGTGGACAATCTGTCTTACACACATCACAGTCATTCCTCCACAGTCCAGGACCTCCTGCACAGATGCAAACACTCTCGTATGGAGGGTTACTTTGTGAAGGTCAGCTTTGGACTGAAACCAGACAAGAAAACTAGCAGAGTGGGGATGAGCCCACCAAAAATCAAGTGTTTCCATGTTCATGGAGCATTAGTAGTTCTTACAACAGAGACCAAGAGGAACGGCTGGAGAGTAAAAAAGCTGATTCACACAAATACTGTGGCCCCTGTTCACAAAACTTTGACATTTAAAGTTTTCACCTGGAAATTTAATGCTCATTTCTTTATACCCTTTTTCTCCTGTTGTGAACCATAAAGTGATGAATCATGAAATCAACCAGACAATCAAGCCATGCTGGCATTACCCGGCTGCAGTCATTGAAAACTAGTTAAGTTGTGTTGCTAGTTACATGACATAATCAAGGTCAGAAAAATGATTGGCTCTTTTAGCATGTAGTCACTGCGAGGAGGTTCCATGTTGCATGGTTTCGGTCGATGCCTTTGGATGAAATTGATTTTGCTTTGAAATATAATTTTTCATAATAACTTTGTGTAGGATGCAGAGTGATGAATGAATGCATTGATCTCAAGCTGCAGAAAATTCAACAGTGTAATGTACAATACACTACAAGAACTGTTTTTATCCCCAAAGTGAAATTCATTAACTCTGTCAACTATAAATGTAATGCTCATATTCATTTTTGTTGTCACGTGGGTCTAAAGCTGCTTTCTTTCTCAACTGCTTCCCCTCTAAGTACTGACCCAGTCACAGTCCTTTATTTAAACATGGGGTGGGTTATAGTCCCACTTATGGAAGGTGCAGTCATTTTGTGAGTTTTGGACATAACAATAACATAAAACTTTCTTGGTACATTCTCCACCCAGACCATTGAAAACAGTATGGGGCTATACACATAAGCTGGGTTCACAAATGGAGCTGATTTTATCCAGTGAGGATGAACATTAATGTGTGTTAATGTGTGTTACCATTCTTCCAATTTTTTGAAATGTAAAAGGTTATATTGTCAGTAAAAAAGGCATACTTTAATTATTATTTTAAGCAAATAGTCAGCATACAGTTTTTAAAATCCTCATCTCAAAGAAACGGTAAAGCACTGTAACTTGACCACAGTGTGCAGAAACATTCAAACATACTCATTTACACCCAATAAAACAACACAACTGTCTAAGACGTATCAAATACCAGCTCATTGTAGGAGGTTTTATTTTTACAAGGTCTGTTTGATGATGAGCTCAAGCTGTTAAAATTAGAAAGGTGGAAAACATGACCTAGAAATGAATGTCTTTCTAAATGTCTGCTCAAAGGAGGCACAATGTGAGGAGGTCCCAGTATGTACGACACAGGCACCATGTATGAAACTGTGTATGTTTGCTCCACAGGAGTGAATCACAGCATACACGCATGCTAATGTGTAATAAAATGATGCTTGACTTTAACTTGTATTTGACTGTCTCTTTTTTGTCTTAACAAATGATTGATTGTCATGCTGGATTGAGGTGTTTATGTCATTATTCTAAATAATCATGTAAAAGTGAGAGACAAAAAAAAACTTTACATGTGACATTTCAGTGTAGGACTGTTCAGACCTCCAAAAATTTCCTAAAACACACTGAGTTCTGTGTGTGTTAATGTTGAGGTCAAACTAAATATGCTGCCACCAGTCCTTTTAGCCTTAGTCTGGGTTTGAACTTGTTGCAGTTCATGTTTTTCATTTCTGAATGCTCACAGACTAAAAAAAAAAAAAAAAGAGAGATGTTTGGGGACCTTATGTGGCTTCATTTGGAACAACAATCACCAGTTCTTTGACATGAACAGCAACAATTTCCCTGGTGTTTCAAAGTAAAAGCACTTCCGGTCAACTTATAATAATGTTTAAGACCAAATCAGTACCATTAGCAGGTTATTTCCATAGACTGTATAAAGAATGGACAGAGTCTGCCTCCTCGCTGGGTGAAGCCACTCCGAGAACAGCACCCTCTGATGGTGGGCTGCAGTACAGGTCATAAATCCCGCCTCCGCCAGCAAAGCTTATGGGACTGTGGACAAACTTTAGAAATTTATTACACAGAACATACATTTTTCTCCCCCCTGCTTGTGATGTTGAAATGTAGTTATTGTAAGACTGGTTTGTGCTCAAGTCCTCTTTTCTCTGTAAAGCTCCGTTTTTAAAAGTTATTAGGGGGTTCATGTTTTCTATGATTGACACCTGATACAGCCTATGGGCGTTTAGGGATTGCGTAGCTCACCCGGGGGGGATACGCTGTTTGAGCCGAGCATCATCACAGGGACTCTCGGGGACTGCGCGGCCGAATGCGTGCATTGCTACTGCGCAGCTCTGGTTTCAAGGAAGTGGAAAAAAAACTAGAATTACCGAGAGCTTTTTGGCTTCAAATCCGTACACAGGCGGAAGGCGGAACCAGGTTGTCCATAGTATATACAGTCTATGGTTATTTCACACATATAACTGTAAACAATGCAATAAGTGTGTTTAACCATTTCATTGGGAACTCATTAGACTGAGAGATGTGTCAAGTGCATGTTGTTGGCTCTTTTGTGCATCTGGTAAAACACAATATCATGATAACATTTATTGTTCTATGCACATTTTAATGTAATATACATGATTATCCCAGTCAGAAAAATGAGTCAGACAAATTCTGAATGATTTGATCCATGACATTAAAACAATATATATATTGGGCTGAGTGAACATGACTGTTGTTTTAATATTGCTTTTAACCTAAAAAACAGAGTTTATATCAATAACACACCAGAAGCTGTTTTAAATCTGATATGCAGTCATGAATAATCTAGGATAATAATGCCTTTTTCTAAATGATAAATGTTTCTCATTATCTTCAGTACACAAAGCTTGGTTTCTCATAATAACAAGATAACTTTCTGGCAAAATAGACACAAAAATACACAGTCCATCATGAGAAGCGCCATGCTGCCATTGCTCACCTTTATAGAGAAAATAAAGTCCATTTCAGTGTTTGTTTTGCTGCTCTGACGATAAGATTTAGAACTATCTGGTGATGCTTGTGAAATGAAATAGAATGAAAAAGTATTGACAGGATAACTTCAGAACTGAAAGGCTGGAAACATGAAAAACAGCATATGCAAAAAGATTTGAAAAAAAGGATTTAACTGTTTTTGTGTCTTCAGATGATGTTGTAAAAGAATTATTAGAAAGTACGCATGCTCCTTCTTGGATCAGATGTCATGGACTGAGAGAGAATGGTAACCCTTTTGTTGGGTTTTCCTGTAAGAAAATCAGAGACACATTTAATATAAGAGACATGGCACTTTGCTTCAGATGCATGGCCTAAATCAGCACTGTGAAATATTATAAGCCTAGATTTCTATTATCTTGGCTAGTCCTAAAACCACAATCCCTCTCATGAACCCTGGCATGCCCCCTCACCGCCTGCTCGCCCCCCTTTTGTCTCCTCCTGCTCATCCTCCAGGTTTTTGCCAAGATCAGCGCACAAAGCAGCAACGTGACTGCCCCCACAGTCCCTGCGATGGCTGTTACCACAGCTGGGTTATTAGCAGCCCTCTGTGGAGCATCTTGGTCTGTAGCCTTCAACATGGCATCATCTAGAGGAGGCTGAGACTCCAGCAGATCAGAAATATCTAGGGACAAAAAGAGACAGAGGATCTTTGTGGAGGGTTCATTTGTGTTTAAAGTCCTGGTCCTATCCTGTGTCTGAGAGACTCCACACCTTCCAGACTGAGGAGGAAGAAAGCATCATCGCCTTTGATGTAGTTTCTGCTCTTCAGTCTGCTGTGGGTGATGAAGGTGCTTGTCCCCTGACCTGGGCCTCGATAGTAAGAGCTGCCATCTGATGAGGTCACTTTAGAGCCCACCTTTCTGGGGTCATCCCAGTAGTACTCACTTCCTGTTGGGGGAAAAATCCAGTTTAACAAATATGAAGACTGGCTGTAGTGTTAGAAAATGAATAAGACACCCTTCAAGTATGTCTCACCAAACTTGGTTCATATCAGTTAAATCCTGTTCTTCTCTGCTGTGACTAGCTGTCATTCAGAGCATGTACACTTTCTATAAATCTGCTATGAGGACTTTCTGCAAGGACCCTTTTTTCACCCAAAAGTAAGAGAAATTTCTGCTCTCATCCAAAGTAAAAGTCCACTTGGATGAATTCCTTTTATTTGACCTCAATCGTGGTTTTCTCCTGAGTAGCTGTAGCTCAGTGGGGAAGTCAGTTTTCTCTGAATTGAAAGTGATGACTGACATCAATCAGAGGGCTTGCAGTATAATGCAGTACTCACCAGACCAAACCACATGCACTTAGCATAGCTTAAGGAATGTGAATGAGATCAGTTAGGACTGATTGGCTCTCTGTAGTGCAGCCTCTGCCTATTAGTTACATCCTAATAGCCAATCACGTGGCTGTATTAATGCTCAAAATCCAACATGGTTGGGTTTTTGAAAATGTTCATGGTCAGAGTTAAAATATTGTGAGAGTTGAATGATTATCTCCTCTCATTAATCTATTACACTATTTGGCAGAACAGGTCCATACCATCAGACGACATCTTGTTGGGGTCTGTGGTGACCATGCGGTGCATGTTCATCTGCTGTCTGACATCAGACTGCTGATCCATCAGGGCCATAGTCCCCATTTGCCACGGGCACGGCCACTTAAGGTTGTGGTCATTTGGGCCTGAAGTCAGATGGAAGTAGGTGCCCATGTAGCCTGGGCGGTCACTTCTTCCATTAAGATACACACCCACCTACAGACCAAAGAGATCATGGTCAAAATGAAGAAAGCAACTAGTAAAAAGTAGCCAACCACTCTATTGCACTGCCATTAAATGGGAATTTCCCCTTGTGGAACTAATAAAGGAGTATCTTATCTTACTGTGTTACTATCTTGCAATTCTAAAATTTTTGCCTCAGCATATGAATCTGCTCAGTTTGTCAGTCTTGGTGCATGACAGCTTTTTAAACAAAAACTTGTAATAAATGATTTGCGTCATGCCTCCCTGGTAAAAAGAATATCCAGTTATTTCTCAGCAACAGTAAACATGCTGAACAGTTGTAGTCTATGGATTTCAAAATCTTCAAAATCAAAAACTTTGAACTAAATCTTTCTGAAATGGTGTGTTTATGATTAGACTTGAGCTGCAGATGTTTTTTTTTTTTATTTTTATAATTAGTTTTTATTCAACATGAGTAGAAAGGCAGAGTGTAATATTTCAAATGTTCATGTATCGTTTTTTCTTTTTCCAATAGAAAAAAACGACAACAGTCCGAACACGACATACACACACAGCTCTAAGGCTCAGAATTTGGTACAGCAAAAGGACAAAGTTTGGGTCAAACATTTAACAGTGAACATCAAGCATTCCCTCTCACCCTCCCTCCCCCCTACCTCCCAAGTCTCTGGTCCTTCCCACCTTCACCCACTGCAAAGACAGTACATAGATAGTCTTAATGTACAGTACATGTTCAAAAAGCAAAAAGAATGGTTATCATGTGTGTATCTTCCTTTAGTCCCCCCCCCCAAAAAAAAAAAAAAAAAATAGAGAAACAGCAATAATAAGTGAGCAATTTAGTAAGTAAAGTAAGACAAAGGGTCAAGAAAAAAAGGTAAGAGAAAGTTTAGAGACAGAGTGGCATGCGACGGAGGTGGGGGGGGCGCAGTCTCAGATCTCAAAGAGTTATCAAGTTGTGTTAAGTAATTTATAATGGGGATCCAGGGGGACGTGAAACCACCTGGTGACCCCCGTAAATCAAATTTGATTTTCTCTAATTTTAAATAAGCCATCACATCTTTCAGCCAAGAGTGTGATTGGGGGGCGTGTGGAGACTTCCACTCTAGCAGGATTTTCCTCCGTGCCAGCAGTGTCAGAAAAGCAATACCATTTTGAGTTGTTCTATTATAAGTTAATTCTCTGGGCAGCACCCCAAAAATAGCTGATTCTGGATTGGGTTGCAGATTAATGTTAAACATTTGAGATAAATGTCTAAATATGTCAATCCAGTATGTCTGTATACGGGGGCAAGCCCAAAACATATGAGTTAAATCTGCATGGGATAAGTGACATTTGTCACAGGTATCATCCAGGGTGGGGTATATTCTAGCCAATTTGGCTTTGCTATAATGGGAACGATGAAAGACCTTCAGTTGTATCAGGCTGAGTCGGGCACACGAGGCACTGCCATTCACTAGAGTCTGTGCCCGCTTGCAAGTGTCATCTGCGATTGGTTCTCCAAACTCTTCCTCCCAGCCCGATCTGATCCCGTCTACAGTAGTTGCTCTTAAAGAAGAGATTACATTGTAGACAAAGGACAAAAGTCTTTTTAATTGACCAGGAGCATCTAGAATAGGTTCCATTCCAGAACTAGGAGGCTTATTAGGGAATGAAGGGTTGTGAGTTTTAACAAAGTCACGAATTTGAAAAAATCTAAAAGGTGGGAATTCGGAAGTTCATATTTACTGGCTAGTTCTCTAAAATTTGCAAAAATCCCGTCAATATAGAGATCTGATAGCCTAGAGAGGCCCAGTCTGTGCCACGTCAAGTAGCTTGGATCTGTCCTTGAGGGGGCAAATAGATGATTATTATAAATAGGACTGAAGAGAGATAGTTCACGGAGGCCGAAAAAGGTTCTAAATTGAGACCATATCTGCAAGGTACTCCCAACAATTGGGTTAGCTGAGTGACATTTAGGTAAAATAGGTAATTTGGTAGTAGTTAAGGCTAGTAAAGATGTGTTAAGACATGAGTTGGCTTCAATTTTACACCAATCTAAATCAGAGTGTTGGGACCAGCAAATTATCTTAGAAATGTTAGCAGCCCAATAGTAAAACTTAAAATTAGGGAGCGCAAGACCACCTTCGGCCCTAGATCTTTGTAGATATTCTCTCTTTATTCTTGAGGGTTTGTCCCCCCAGATAAATGAGGACAACAATGAGTCAAGTTTACAAAAAAAGGATCTAGGAATAAAGACTGGTAAGGCTTGAAATAAATACAAAAAACAGGGAAACACGTTCATCTTAATACAATTTACTCTCCCTGCCAGTGAGATATTGATAAGTCCCCACCTGTGTAAATCTACTTTTAGTTTCTCAACAAGGGGTAAGATATTATCTCTAAACAAATCATCTAGCGATCTACGGATAAGTACCCCCAGATATTTAAGCCCAATCTCAGAGGTACGAAATGGCAGTGAATTGCTTGGAATTTTGCGAGCCAAGTCGTTTATTGGAAAGCATTCACTTTTATTAAAGTTTAATCTGCAACCCGAAAAAGTACCAAATCTATTCAACAATTGGATGATCTCTGGAACTGAGGAAACTGGGTCTGATATCTATATTAATAAGTCATCTGCATACAGAGAGACTTTATATTCCAATCCCCACCTGCGAATACCCTGGCAGAAGGGAGCTGATTTCAGGGCAATAGAGAGAGGTACGATTGCCAGGGCGAACAGTAGGGGGCTTGCTGGGCAACCTTGTCTGCAGCCTCTAGAGCAGGCATGTCAAACTCAGTTTGGCTCTGGGGCCGGATCCAGACTTTGTGTTCTCAGGTGGGCCGGATCAGTAAAAGAATGCCAACTCCAAATATTTAGCTTTGTTTTTCAATACTATGCTTTATCATTCAGCCTACATTTGTAGCCTACCCTACATATTATAATCACGGATGACAAGGGATCTTTTCTATGCACAACACATTTATTCACAAACAATGGAAAAAAAATGATTTCATGTTAGGCGGTGAATGTGTTAACAACGGGTTTATTTTAACAGTTAAGTGAATGCAGTTTTACACCTGAACCAACTCACCACACTAAACAAACTCAAGTGGGAGCTATGAAAAAAATATTTTCGCCTTAATTGTCATACTGCTTTGAAATAAATAAGAAAAGAAATACAAAATAAAAGTTATAGCAGTGCATGGGCAATAAGATCAGACTACATCAGATCAAACTACTAGGCTGGGCCTACTGAAGCTGAGAATATACTGCACAATATTAATTGTCTTTAATATGAAACCAGATTAATCGTATTTTTAATGATCTGTATTCATGAGTGTAAACAAATTTCGTGTCATCACACTTTCTCTCTCTCTCATTGCACTCCTGCAGTCTATTTGCTGCTGCTGGCTCCTGAAACTTGGGATCTTTTTGCCTTCACAAGTGTATCGATATTAGGTGTCAGATCCTGAGTAGCAGCAAATTTAACAATGTCATTCAAGTGTTTATTTGTTAACCTTGAGCGCTGCTTTGTTTTATTATTGTCCATTACGGAGAACACCTGTTCACAAAGATAAGTAGTCCCAAACATGGATAGAACCTTTGCAGCCATGGCTGTTAATTTGGGGTAACCTGGCACGAGATATTGATAAAACGTATCCAATCCCACGGACCCAAATTTATCCTTCATAGCGGAATCGCACTGCAAGTCAATAAGCTCAAGTTGAATGTCAGCTGGCATATCAGAAGGCTTCACTGTAAATGGCGAACGAAAAAAGCCAAATTTGTTCTCAAGTGCACTGAATACCTGAAACCTCTGCTCAAACTCTCGCAGCAAATCTGTTATGTTGTCTTTATATTTTTCCAAATCATTATCGGGACGGTCCGGTGCCTCCGGACGCACAGCTGTGAGACAAGAGAAATGCGCTGTGTCACCGTTGGATAGCTGCGTCTCCCACAGTGACAGTTTCATCTTGAACGCACTTATGCTGTCGTAATATTGAGTGATAACTCTGTTACGGCCCTGCAATGTAGTGTTAAGTGTATTCAAGTGTTGTGTCATATCAACCATAAACGCAAGATCCTGCACCCATTCCTTGCATTTAATTTCCTTTACTGGGCGTCCCTTCTTCTCCATGAACTGTCCGATTTCCCCTCGTAGCTCAAAGAAGCGCTTGAGTACTGCACCTCTGCTTAACCACCGCACGTCAGTGTGGTATGGTAGGCCAACATGAATGTCATTATCACTGAGAAATGTGTCAAATTGACGGTGATTTAGACCGCGCGCTCTGATGAAATTGACAGTACACATTTACTGCCCTCCCGCGGCCGGAGGGAGCATTTGGTTTGTATTTATTTTAAAAAATCATAACTTTTGATAGAAATGAGCTAGAGACTCGCTTCTTTTTTTGACATACTCAGAAATTTATGCCGAGCCGGATTAAATCATCCAACGGGCCGGGTCCGGCCCGCGGGCCGTATGTTTGACATGCCTGCTCTAGAGAGTGTAAACATCTGGGAATTCATTCCATTGGTACTGACCGAAGCCTTAGGGGCCGAGTAGAGAAGTGAGATAAGAAAGATCATCCTAGGACCAAGACCAAACTTCTTGAGAACCTCTAGTAAGTAACTCCACTCCACCATCTCAAACGCCTTCTCTGCGTCCAAGGAGACCACCACCTCGGGGGTCCACGAGGATGCAGGAGAGAGAATAACATTGAGGAGACAACGAATATTGGATGAGGAATGACGGTCTCTGATAAAACCAGTCTGGTCTGTCGAGATTATGTCACTAATGACTGTCTCCATACATGAAGCTAATATTTTCACAAGAATCTTGTAGTCAGCATTTAGAAGAGATATGGGCCGGTATGAACCACAGTTCAGTGGGTCTTTGTCCGGTTTTAGGATAAGCGAAATTGATGCTTTTGTGAGTGTTTGAGGTAGGAGGCCCTTTCCAAGAGAGTCAGTGTACATTTTCAACAGGAGTGGAGCTAGTTTATTAGAAAATATTTTATAAAATTCAACTGGATAGCCGTCTGGGCCAGGAGCCTTCCCATTTTGCATTGCTAAAATTGAGTCTTCAATCTCCTTCAAGCTTAAAGGCTGTTCTAAAGTCTCATATTTTTCAGCGTGAAGAATCGGAAACTGGAGGTCCCCAAGGAAGCTCATCATATCGGAAATGTTCACAGGGAACCGAGTAGTATACAGATCGGAATAAAAGGTTCTAAAAGTGTTATTAATTTCTGTCGGAATAACTGTACATAAGCCATCTGAGTTCTTAATTTGGGGAATGTTTCTTGCAGCACTCTCTTTCTTGAGTTGATGGGATAGTAATCGGCCTGCCTTCTCACCGTGTTCGTACATGAGGCCCCTTGAACGCATTAACGTATTTTCTGTTTTCTCTGTAGTAAGCAAATCATATTGCATCTGTAAACTTAGCCTCTCTTTATGTTTCAGGGGAAGGAGATACTGAGTAATCATTATCCAACCTTTTAATACCTTCAATTAACTGATCTTGTTGTTTTTTCTTTAATTTATTCTTTTTGGAGCAATATGATATAATGTCCCCCCTGATTACAGCCTTTAGGGTTTCCCAAAGTAAAGATGGAGAGACAGTATCAGAGTTATTATTTGAGATGAATTCATCAATTTTATTGGCAATAAATGTGCTAAAATTAGGGTCTTTTAGTAATACGGAATTTAGTCTCCAAGTGGACGGGTTTTGTTTAAATTTGAAAAATCAAGGTCAAGCAGTAAGGGGGTGTGGTCTGAAACTACGATAGCTGAATAGTCAACGAATTTAACCGAGGGTAAGAAAAATTTATCGATGAATAAGTAGTCAATTCTAGTGAACGTTTTATGTACTTTAGAGAAAAAAGAAAAGATTTTCTTGTCAGGAAACTTAAAACGCCAAACATCCATACAACCTACTTCACTCATGAATGAAGATATAGCCTTCGCCATCTTGGAAATAGCTTTTTTCTTTGTACTTGATCGATCTAAGACTTGGTCCATGGTGCAATTTGTATCACCTCCAAAAATCTAATGGTAAGAGTTCAGATCAGGCAGGTGGGAGATAATCTTATTAATAAAAGCTTCATCATCCCAGTTTGGGGCATAAATGTTTACCAAGAGCACTGGGGTATTAAAGAGACAACCTGAAACCATAATGTAACGGCCACAGGGGTCGGAGATAATATCTTTTTTAGTAAAATGAACATTTTTATGAATTAGAATGGCAGTACCCCGTGTCCTCGAGTCAAAGCCTGAGTGGTAAATCTGAGTAGTAAGGAGAGGAGAAATAGGAAAAGGAGGGAAAAAAAAGAGAAGAAAGAAAAAAGTATGTACTTATTTGATAGAAATTTAAAGCTAAGGTGAGGCCCAGAGACTTCCCTCCCCCCTAGGACAAAATACACAAACAGTGACATACCCATACGTTGAACAGACAAGAACAGCTGCAGATGTTTTGATAAAAAGTTAGCTAGCATATTAACATATTAACATATTTATACATTTAAAATTGAGGGGATGAAATATAAGTGTACCACATACCTGGAATGAGTATCCTGATGGTGACAGGAATCGAGGGCTGTAAAGTTTACTTCCTACTGGTGTGGTGTCCATCAAGCGGGTTAAGTTGCGGATGTGCCAGATGTGCTGAGGACACTTGGTGGATGACAGATTAATGTCATCCAAGGAGAAACCTCCTGTGGATGGACCATTTCCCCGTACTCCTTCAAAGACCACACGGGACTTGTTTTTCACATCCAGCTCGATGTTGTGCAGTTCCCAGGAGCCCATGACTCCACCTACAAAGATGACGTACTGGTTTCTGGTGGTCACGGTTAAAATCTCTAAATAACTTTGATCAAATTTTGTTTACTTGAACTGGTTGAAAACAAACCCTGGTAAATATTAATGCAGTCAAAGTGCTATGTGGAGCCACTGTAGTCATGAAGGGGTAAATTCCTTACAGTTAATTCTGGCATATGCATGTTATTTCACATTTATTACCTGAGATACTCTTAGAGAGCTTCATTCTACCACTGGGGTTTTCCTGGTCATACTCTCGTACCCAGATATTAAGAACATCATCACTTGCACCGCTGTTATGAAGGAAGAACTGCAGACACTGGGCTCCAGGTTTGGGGTAAAGCCAACGGCTCTCCAGAAATGCATGGTCTCCAGGTTCAGCAGACACTGTGCTGAAGTGCATGAAGAAACCTTTTCCTGTGAGGAGGGAAAGACACAACTGAAGGATGTTTGAGCCATAATTTACACAGATATGTCTTAGCTTTTTTAAAACAATCAATGGAATCACCACTGATAGATAATATGTAATAAATTAGTATTTAGCTTGAGACTTCAAACTGTCATCAGTCTGTTTTACTGCTGGTCTGTACCTTGTACAGGGAACCTTTACTTTGAAATATCCTTAGACTTCAAATGGATAAGATAAGGATATCAGCTTTTTTATATAACTGTTAAATGAGCAACTACATAGAGATATTAATGTGTACAGTCTGCAGTCATAAAAAATGTTCAACTGTCGCCATCATAGGGGGAATATCCAGAACCACTTGAGTCATTTATTTAAAAATAAAGGTTTTAGATTCCAGATTTATCATCCAGCAACTAGCTATTTGAACGGCAAATACAGACCCTACCTTTGCATTGTCCCATGTTGGAGAAGTCAGTCTGAGGCCCTCCACTAACAGAGCTAAGCTGCTGCCAGTGTCTGTTTCCAGGACCCTGAATCATCCCACAGACGTTGTCCTCCTCAAAGTCACAGCTGTCCACAAAGGTAGACGACTTGGCTGTGGAGATAAAAACAAAAACAAAACAGCTGTATTATTTCATGAAGAGTCTTTGATTTACTGTTTATTTTTTCTTTTACCTGTAGAGTTGTGAAAATGTGGTTTACTACATTTGATTTTTGCATAAATAACACATTCAATGGGTTAAGTCATTTAAAAATCAATCATAGACTGATTAGGGTGTTGCATAAGAAACCGTCATATCTCAAATAGGATTTTGTGTCAGTACACACTTCTGATGTAACAATTACAGCAGCATTATATGTTTCATTATATCCCCAAGTCAGTTTTTCATTTTTGTTATTTCAACCCTTACTGCAAAATATGCAGAACTACTAACCAGAGCTTAAGGAAATTAAAGTACAATTTGCAGAACTTTCTTTTGTTTGTTGCTCTACCTGTTGGTCTGTGGGTAAGAATAGGAGAAAGGGTAACATCCTTGGTAAAATGCTCAGAGGTAAAGCCATCAACAACTGTCAGTCATAGATATAATCTTAAAAACTCCTGTTTTTGTTGAAAAGGTGGAGTAATTTCAGTTGATTGGTGTCACTCATCCTGATATAACATCTGGAGGCAACAGGGTAAATTCCTTTAGCAACTACACAAGAATCTGACCTGCTGTTTGGGCAGATATATTTATATGTTTTTTAAGATTCTTGCTGTGCTCTTGTAGTCATTTAATAAAGGAATCATATGTTAAAGAGTTCACTCCCCTTGTATTACATAATGATTACTTGAAGAACATAACCTTTTTTATAGATTTTAATCTGGAACCTTTGATCAATATGTTATCCAATAGGTCTATTACCAAGGTCTATTAAGAGACTACTTGATCACTGTTTATTGTTGAAAGCTAATAACATATAATTATTGACCAAGATTAGCCTCACACATTATTGTCAATTTGTGCCAGATCAACTCCGACCTATCTTGTTGAAACAGAAACAAACAAACTTTCACATTTTATGAGCTGGTTTGATATTGATGGCTATTAACAAACATATTAACACTCAAAGGCTTTATTCAACCTTTCTGTTTTTTTCTTCTGTACATACTAATGTTGCTGGAATTCCCAAAAGAATCAACAAAGTTCCATGTCATCCAATCAAGTATGGGATGTGATGTATGATGTCCATACTATGACTGCTATGGGCAGGTTCAAACCTCAGTACATTTGAATATTACTCTTCCCCTTTTACATCATACTTGCTTCATGTTTTTTTGGGTGTCAGTGAAAGCCAGTTTTGCATGGGTTAGTTATATTTTGGTGTATGTAGTATTCAGATCTATCTTGCACGGTTTTATTGGACAGCACCAGCAGTCCGACAGGCTGACTTTTACATGGTAGTTTGTGTCATACAGGTTAGCAAAGCACTTATTAACTTGTTGGCCATGTAAGAACTTTTGCTTTATTGTATCAGGGGAAACTTTATGAATGATTTTTGAACGTTGACTGCAATCAGCTATAAACATCTGTGTTTACTGTGATCTATTACATGCTCTTGGGCAGGTGATGTTAGAAGCCTCTATCCGTGTCCTCTATTAGGTTAAAAAGTTCAGTACTTAATGGTCTGTACCATGTTGTTCCTTATGTGATCCACTTTTTAAAAAAATGAAATAAAAGGCTGAGATGACTCACTGCAGTTGTAGAGACGGTTCAGTTTTGTCAGGTCACTGGCACTGAAGCCCATTCTCTGACCAATCACATTCATGAACTTGGGGATCTTGGTGATGATAGAGGGATCAGAGGCGATGTTAAAAGATGACTTGCTGTAATGCATCACTGAGCCGTAGTCATAGGGAACACCCAGGGCACTAGACACTGTGTCGTCTCGTGTCTTGAAGTTATGCTCTTTGCCTGGACAGAAAAATAAAACATCAGAAACATTTTTCAATTGTTTTACACATTTTCCAGCAGTGTTATATTACATGAAGTTACAGTTTGTATGTGACAGTGTTACCAGGTTCAATGCGATCCCACATGATCTGGACATAATCATCCCGGTCAGCTCTTGACTGCTCATGCCAGAAGCCCAAAGCATGCAGGAACTCATGCTCAACAGTTCCCAGGCGATCGCAGTTTTTACCAATGGAGAGCCGCTGCCTTCCCATGTGCTGGTTTCCAACAGAAGAGGAACATCTACAGAGAGAGGAAGCAAGATGCAAGTTACAGTGGTCTTTAAAGCCATGGTGTCTTTGAGGGTAATCAGCCTGCTATTCAATTTATCAGGAATAAAAGAGAAATCCATTTCCAGGCAAGAAACTAAAAAATTAGGCAGAGCAATGTGAAAGTGTAAGTCACAGGAGCTGTTCAGAGTTGGCTCACCCACTCCCTTTGTACACAGAGATGTAGTTCTGCTCTCCCCTCCATGGTGTGAAGTCGATGCAGGTCTTCAGTCTGTACTGCTCGAACGCCTTCAGGATCACTCCCTTTGCATTCATTTCTACACATTACAAATTGTGAGACACAGGAAAAACATGAAAAGCATAGGTATATAAGTACAAGACTGTGAATGACTGTGACTGTAATATGACTGTGAATATGAGCCTCAGTTTTGCACAGTGTCTTACCCAAGTTGTTCTCAAGGTAGTAGGGAATGGTGGTTGGCCAGCGATACTCATCACCCAAGATGGAGTTTCTGCTGAATGTCTGATGGAAATAGTTGAGCACAAATTTGATTTTCCTATAAAGTGTTGTAACTTTGAGTTACTGCAACTGCTGGCTTTACTAGGCTGCCATACAAAAATAATGGACTTTTGGCCCGTTCTTTTTTAAAACCAGGGCAATATTGGAGTATTTGGATGCTTTCAATCTCTTCCCTGTTATGGCATTCCTTTATATTATGTGGCCCCAGAACATTTCAGTTTTATTTTTTATGAGTATCCAATTACCACTTACTGATTTAAACTGGCAAAATATTGTACTAAGGCCATTTTTGTCAATAAGCCACTTACAACACCTTGTTGATGCTTAAATTGATTTTTTTTCCATTGTTCATAAAATTAACACATTTAATATTGCTTGTTTTTGACATTTGTTAGCAGTTTACACCTGTTGCAAACACAGATAAAATGTTTATTAACATTAAATTATGTTTTTGAGTGTTAATTATATATAAATAATCCGATTTTGCATGTGCATTGAGTGCATAATTCCAAATTAAGTAAACTGACTTCACATTGCAGACATCAAAATTCAAATTCATTATTATAAGCACAACATATGGTTCTAGCTCAAGGTAATGTGAATATACTTGATATTGAACAAGGCTTGTGTTTGATTCCAATTCATCATCAACCAGCTGATTATTTAACTTGTAAAACAAGAACATCAAGGTGTTCCTGCTCCCAGAATAATGACCATATCCTCATCAACAGGAGCCTCAGTTCAGGATAAAAGTAGAAATGAGCTCAGGGGGCCCTAATGTAATACAGGCCCATGAGGTTGCTGAATAAATGGCTGTCAGTGTTGGTAGGGGTCCACAGAGGATGCCTGTGTACGGAGCCCAAAAATGAATACTTTCTTTCTTTCTTTGTAGAGGATAATGAGCAGGGGCAATGTATGTGTGTGTAAAAATGTTTTATCACCAGAAAGAACACTCAAAAACAAGGCTGCAGTCTAAATTAGATAGCATAAATGAGATACAGTTTTCAAAATGGGAGCACTTTTTGGTTTTAGGGGTCTTTTTAAATGATTTTACCTCATCTTGTTCGATGTCTCCCTCCAGCAGGTCTAGCCCAGCAGCTGCAAAGAAACATGGTATTGGTAGATGCAAGTATTTAGACTTACTGTTGCATAATTTTACAATCAAGCACACAAACCTTCGTTGACGTTAAGGATATCCCAGTCACGGCCCTTGTCAACGTCTATTTCTGTAGATAAAGAACAAATTGTTACAGGCCAGATTTGTCACAAAACTACAGTATCTGATTCATTGATTTAATGTTGCTATGAACCCAGCTGCATGAACATGAATGAGTTTTGCAAGTCTGGGATGTATGCTATGAAATGCTGTTTTCATTTGACATAATTTCTTAAATTCGTAGAAGTAAGTCAGTAAGTCAGCAGATCTTCCTTCAGTGAGCTAGTGTACAGATACAAATACAAACACAAGAACACAGAGTGCAGTCAGGTAATGCTTAGTGGACAGTATTTAAATTTTGCAATTGTCAGAAGATCAAGTGATCCAGAATTTGCAGGGAAATTTATTTTACTTAAAGTAACCTCATAGGGTCCTCAATGTAATTTATATCCAATAATTTGTTTGTTTTTTTTACCATGTGACAGAGAGTTACATGAAAAAGATTGTGACTTACCTGTATCACCTGACAGCTTTGCTGCTGCCTGGTAAATATATGTCAGAATGTACATTCATCAATCAATAAAGAGAATTCATAGTCTTAATAAGAGGTCAATGTCAGTACTACACAGAATAAATGTGAAGGCTTGTACTTACCAGTCCAAGACAGAAGACCAGAGGGATCCACCTGAGTGCCATGACCATAGCTGCAGAAAACCAGCCTCAGATCAGCTGTGCAACATTTACAAGATCTGACCCCTTTTTATGACTTTGAAGGATTACACAACTATCAGATTAATCATTAATTAAATATTAATGATTAGCTTATCTTTGTATTGTAGCACACTTATAAACCTGTGCATGTACAGGTACATAGGGTTTGTAAAAGGTCAGACTTAAAGCGATCTTGCAACTCAAGAGGTTTATCAGACTTGCTGTATACACTGAGAACAATAAGGTGCTGTGATGAAGACTAACATTATAATCGTACAAGGTGTTTTTAGCAGAAGGACCACAAACCCCTGCATGAGGGTAAAAGTTTTGTTGTTGCTATTGTGTTGTTTTGTTTTAGATTAGCCCATGTCAAGCCCATCCCAAACAAATGTGGATCAAACAAATGGCCTGTCTGGACACATACCTGCATAAATCCTTTGCCTATATACCCCCTAAACTTGAACTACCTTACCTCCTGGCAGTCTTCCATGAACTCAGTCTTACAGTTAGTGTGTTGTATGTAGCAACTCTTGCAGGTTTTTCCAAATGTTCTATCTGAGCTTCAAGTTCACTTCCTTGACATTTGACCCTTAGGGCAGCACATGAACAACCCAGCTGCTGTGGAGAGAGCAACCAGCACCAAATTTCTGGAGGTGCACATCAGTGAGGACCTTTCCTGGACAGCCAACTGCACATCACTGGCAAAGAAAGCCCAGTGACGCCTCTACTTCCCCCCATGGAGCCCCCCACCCATCATGTGCACCTTTTAGCAAGGCACAGTTGAAAGCATCCCGACCAACTGTGTCACTGTGTGGTTCAGGAACTATACAGAAGTGAAGAGGAAAACACTGCAGCACGTAGCTCTCCTCTCTCCCCTCTCTGTCACCTCCCCCCTTTGCTCTCCAAAACACTGGACTCAGAGCCCCATATGTCCAGTAAGGGTTGAGACGGGGTTCCATTTTCGTGTAGGCCGGTGAGGCGGCGGAGGGTGGCGGACCCCGCGCAGTTGTATTTTCGTCTGGCGGAGCCCGGCGTACAGTCAGTTTGGTATTTTCGTGGACTGAGGCACACAGAGGCGAACCGAGATCTGCCAAGCTGGGCGTGGTGGCGTGGCAGGGGGAGGTGTCGACAGAATCAGCGGGCGCAGTGACATTTTCATGCTCGGCACCGGCGTGTAAAGTGCGCTGAAAGCTCGCCGATTCAAACCTGGTCAGCTTTCAGCGCAGGCGGAGCGCAGCTGGTCTCGTGGTATTTTGGTAGACCTGCGGCGTATCGGCATACGTCACCGATGCCTCACCGGCAGGTTTCCACAGTGTAAGGCACATTTCAGTGCAAAAAATAATCATCAACTACTAATAATCTGAGTCAGCACATACATTTAGATCTATATAGATATATTCTGATCTAGATCTGATCTGATGAGCGCGTTCGGCACGCGTTTGGACACACAACCTGACCGAATCAACACAGCTGAAACCGCATTAAATTAAATTAAATATCTAGTAAATAAACACACATGATGAAGTTAACAAGATATTTAATTTGTCTCCCTCCCTTTCTTTCTTCCTTTTCCTCTTATTTCTCGACCTGGACATGTCTCTGTGTCCTCTCTCCGTCCTGCTGCAGCTGCGGCTGAACAGATGATTTGTTTCAGTGCTCAGATGAGTTATTTACTTTAAGCCGACATACGGATATTATAATATTCAGTTTTGTGAGCCAAATTTATTTTATATGCCAACATCTATGAAAGAAAGAGCCAGGCCAAGGAGCGTGATGTGTCATTTACGCACAGATGGTTCAGATTTTAATGCCATTTTTGGAGTTTATGTTGTGACCTGTGCGCTCAACCCACCTTTGTCACGTGAGGTTTGAATATGTTCAACTTTATGTGAGTGTCTTTATTTGTGGAAAAGGGTGTTTGTCTTACCAGTGGGTCCAACATTACACACACCAAATCCATCTGTGCTCATATGGGAGAGTGTGGAGGACGCCCAATGCAGCGCTTACAGTGACACTTGTTGAGGAGCTGCCTTCTGTCACCATCGTGTGGCATTACTGTCTTCAGACATCTCTTGATCTCTTTGACTACTTCACGAAAATAGTAATACGCCTCGTCGGTGGCGGATTTAAAGGCAAGGAGAGGAGCTTATGTGATTGGTGAAAACAGGTCTCGGCTGGGAGGAGCTGAGTTAGGGAGGGCGGATACTTACGCTGGGCTGCGCCGCTCACCAAAATACCAAATTGTGCTTGGGAACGCCTTGTCGGCGCGGCGGACCTGACTTACGCCGCGCTTGCGGCACGTCTCCAACGAGGCACGAAAATAGAACCCATAGCATTTGCACTATAATAAAAATTCTGCTGCTGTTTCCGAATCCCCTGCTTCTGTATTTTTTTACTGTATAATCATTTTCCCTGCACTCCAACTCCACTGATTACATGACTGCTGACTGTTTACGTGAATGCTGACTGTTAACATGAATACTGACTGTTCACATGAATGCTGACTGTTTACATCAAAGAAACACTACAGACTCAACCACCACCTGTACTTAAGGTCATGTGTAAATATGTACAGCAGAGACTATTTCTTTGGACATCAGGTTTGTATGTGTATGTATAGGGAGCATGTACTGTATATAGGATACAGATACAGTAGACACGAGGGTAGATGTGGACATACATATACACTTCTGCTACTGTAATACACTTTTATCAATTGTGTTTTTGGTATTTTTTTAATTTATTCTATGTATTTCTGTAAAGTACTGACTAAAGAGTCATATACCAATCCCGAAAGATTTAAAGGCACAGTGTTTTTATTACATAGTATAGTCCTTCATGAAACCAAACAGATTTGTGAGGCTTTTGCAGTAGCGTTGATATGATTTCAAAGTTGTGAGTCAGTGCTGTTCAGCCTTTTCTGGACCAGATGTTCACTGGTTTTCTTACAGTGCCTTGAAAAAGTATTCATACCTCTTGAACTTTTTCACATTTTGTCACTCTACAACCACAAACTTAAAAGTATTTTATTGAGGTTTTTTGTCATAGACCATAACAAATTAGCACATAACTATGAAGTGGAACGAAAATGATACATGGTTTTCAAAAATGTAAACAAATAAAAATCTGAAAAGTGTGGTGTGCATTTGTATTAAGCCCCCTGTACACTAACACCCCTAAATAACATGCAGTGCAATCATTTGCCTTCAGAAGTTAATAGAGTCCATCTGTGTGTAATTTAGTATCAGCATAAATACAACTGTTCTGAGAAGGCCTCAGTGCTTTGTTAGAGAACAATAGTCATCAAAGAACATCATGAAGACCAAGGAACTCACCAGGCAGGTCAGGGAGAAAGTTGTGGAGAAGTTTAAAGCAGGGTTAGGATATAAAAAATATATATATCCAAAGCTCTGAACATCTCAAGGAGCACTGTTCAATCCATCATCCAAAAATGGAAGAAGTATGCCACAGCTGCTAACCTACCAAGACACAGCTGTCCACCTAAACTGACAGACCGAGCAAGGAGAGCACTGGTGAGAGAAGCAGCCTAGAGGCCCATGGTCACTCTGGAGGAGCAGCAGAAATCCACAACTCAGGTGGGAGAATCTGTTCACAGGACAACTTTGTGTACTCCACAAATCTGGCCTTTATGGAAGAGTGGCAAGAAGAAAGCCATTGTTGACAGAAAGACCCATTTTCAGTTTTCCACAAGCCATGTAGGGGACACAGCAAACATGTGTGACGGAAAACTAACACTACTCATCACCCTGAACACACCATCCCCACTGTGAAACATGGTGGTGGCAGCCTCATGCTGTGAGGATGCTTTTCTCCAGCAGGGATAGGGAAGCTGGTCAGAGTTGATGGGAGGATGGATGGAGCTAAATACAGGGCAATCCTGGAAGAAAACCTGTTGGAGGCTGCAAAAGACTTGAGACTGGCAAAGAGGTTCACCTTCCAGCAAGACAATGACCCTAAACATACATCCAGAGCTACAATGGAATGGTTTAGATCAAAGAAGATTCATGTGTTAGATTGGCCAAGTCAAAGTCCAGACCTAAATCCCATTGAATATCTGTGGCAAGAGTTGAAAATTGCTGTTCACAGACGCTCTCCATCCAATCTGGCTGAGCTTGAGCTATTTTGCAAAGAAGAATGGGCAAAAATTTCAGTCTCTAGATGTGCAGAGCTTGAAGAGACATACTCCAAAAGACTTGCAGCTGTAATTGCAGCGAAAGGTGGCTCTACAAAGTATTGACACAGGGGGGCTAAAAACAAATGCACACCACACTTTTCAGAGTTTTGCTTGTTTAAATTTTTGGAAACCATGTATCATTTTTGTTCCACTTCACAGTTATGTGCTACTTTGTGTTGGTCTATGACAAAAAATCTCTATAAAATAGTTTTAAATTTGTGGTTGTAGAGTGACAAAATGTGAAAAAGTTCAAGGGGTATGAATACTTTTCAAGCCACTGTATGTGGAGACTATTGTCAGTCTGTACTTGCTCTGCATGGTGCACCATCTGCACAGCACTGTGACTGAGGTGCTGCCAATGTGAAATCCTCCAAGGGTTTGGCTTCAGCATGAGAAGAGTGATCAAAAAAGTGGTCTCTATCTTTTCTATTATAATTGCATGCACTTAGATTGCAAATTAACAAAGATAATGGATAATTTGTGGGAAATTCCAGATGTTTGAGTCTGTATGACACAATCCTTCAAATCAGAGCAGATGTTGGTTCACTGTCTGCATGTTTTAGAGCGGGGTATGTCCTGAAGGGGGCACACTGGTGGACACTGGAGATACTGTTACACTGGTAGATTAATATATTCCAGTTGGTGGCAATGCACTAACTGTGGATGTCAACCCCTATAAAACTCCATGAAGAAAACGAATAGTCATCAAAATGTAGCCCTCCAAAATCCTGACAAACTCTCTTAACTTTGGACAAAGGCGGCATGAGCAGCTCTTATTAAAGTCAGCCTCAAATGATGAAGTCATCATGAAGCAAGATTTCTCTTTAAAGGAAAACACTTTTGGTCCATTTATGTGTTTCCTTGTTCAAGTTCAGATGGTCCACTGGCATGCTAAACACATGAGGCTACACACAGATGCCTGCTAGTGACGATTAGCACAGTGATTGATAACAAGTAGAACCAGCCATCTTGAACTACAAAAAAAAATAAATAAATAAAAATAAAAACGATGATTGTGTAAGTATTACGGGTGCAAGTGGATCCATCATTAGTGAGTCTTCAACAGAGTGGACCCAGTTGTTTTCATATCCTTACACTTTTAGTACTAAATTTAGCCAGATTAGATAACTGCTGGTATGCTTTATATACCACAGAAATGAAAAAATAAATAAATAAAAAGAGCACAAGCATATTGCACAACCCTTACTGGTTATGCAATATGCTTACAACTTACAACCCTTTAAAATCCTTAACAGGCACTTGAAAATATTTTCTGACATTTCTAGAAATAATAATTTCATGGGTTTAACTTTTGCTTCAAGCACCAGCAAAACTATACGCACAAATTTATGAGCCTCTTGAATCTGCTTTTCAATTATTTGTGAATTTCATTGGATTACAGTAGATCCTTGGCTCTCTTGACAGAGATGCTGTTATTCAAAGTGACATACATCTGAGAGCAAAGATCTAGACAGTTGTGTCTTTTCTTCTTGGCCCCAAGTAGCTCTTTTACTGCCAATGCAGCATCCATTAAACAGGGACTCCCGTCACCTCTTAATGCGGCTCAGTCTTTCACACATGATGGACAAGGACTGTGTCAGCTTCACCATGGCAATGATGATGGTGCCTCCAACCAGGGTGCAAGTCGGCCAGAACAGGGAGTGGAAGACCGCAACCCGACCGTAGATCTGAGTCAGGATGGCGCTGTCCATTTTGTCCGATGGATCCACAAAACACTGAATAGTGTGCTGAGACCTGAGACGCTCAGAAATGTTTTGAACCACAGCATGTGTGGCTGAATAGTCTTTGGTGCACTTTGGGATGTAGAAGCACTGAAGGAAAGAAGAGAGAAAAGTAGGTGAATGTTTTTACCTTGTTTCAGTTTTACAAAGTGAAATCTTTCAGAGAATGTCCTGTAAAGTTATATCTGTGCTTACTGGTGGACTAGTGGAGCAGTGGAAATACTTGGATCCCTGAAATATTGAAAGAACAGTTGTCATGTCGTACCTCAGGGTTGCTATCCTGGGTTTCCTCATTGTGAAACAGTCTCATCACCTTCCCTGAGGAGTTGAGGCTGACAAAGACCTGCAGACACGGGTATCGGGAACTCTTCCAGCACTCTGCTCCACAGCTGTAGGAACAGTTCACATCCCACACGATGGTAGAATTCACAACTGTGCAGCTTGCTTCACCTGTCCATAAACTGGAAGAGGGAGAGCAATAAGTTAAATATATACCTGTATCTAATACACTTCTAGAGAAAAAAAAAACTGTTCTTCACCAGGTGGATATAAAATAACCAACAGTAAGAACATGTTCCCACAAAGAGGATTTATTTCTGCCTTCTCATACTCAAACATAATTTAAGGGACCATGTGGCCTGTTATCACCTGTCAGAGTAAGAGCGCAAGATCGTTATCCCCACCACAAAGTACATCATGACAGAGAGCAGGACCATGCTGAGGCCCAGCAGGATGGCTCTGTCCTCTCCTGCCCTCAGAGCTGTCACTGTTTTCCTCTTGTCCAGGACCTCATATTCACGAATCTTCTGGTATATTGATCTGGAAAACAAACAAATAAACAAACAAACAAACAAACAAACAGAAACATACAATAATTAATGAAGGGGTATGTCTTCTTTAAAGACATACCAAAGGAATCACATGCTAGGAAACAAGTTTGACTTAGACTCCAAATATGTTTTTGCTAGACACGTATTTATTATGTGTTGTATTTCTGTGTGTATTAGTGAACACCTTGTCTGTCTTTTTTTAGCTCAGAAATTATCCTGATTTCTACTGTGGGACTTTTCATACCATATGCAGCACATTCAGTGCGACAGCTTGCACAGGGACTTGACAGCACTTTGTGGCTCATACTGATTTTTTTTTCTTCTTGTCTAGATCTTTGCTTGTATTGCTCTTGTTCTCCAGTGCACATTACTTTGGATACCTTGTGTCAACTAAATGACATTGTAATATTGTAACAGGAAGGGCGACAGGAGTGTATTTTGGTTGCAATCTGCAACCTCTCCACTAGACGGCACTGAAATACAAACCAAAGCAAAAAGAGGGTTTGAGTTCTTGTGACACGATGAAATGAAGTGGTGATACGAATATATACTATTGCTTCCTCTTGCTTCATTGTTTATTTCATTTGTTACATTAGAAACTTAAAATGATGAAGATGACCTCTGCATGAGTTCCTCAGCCATCATTGGTTCATCCACACTGACCCCAAAAGCCTAAAATGATTACTGAGGGTAACATACCTCTAGGGCCTAGGCAATGAAACAACTCACCTGCTGTCAGGATTATATACTCTTTGTGCTGTTGTAACTGTAACAACCTCTTTATGTTGTTTGGTCTGTTGATGAGATTTACCCTCATTCCATTTGCAATCATGTATCCTGTAATACTTTCTCCTATATACCTACACTTCTTTTTCTTACTTTTCTATACATTTTCAATGTTAACAGCACACACACACACACGTTAACTATCCTTGACTGTTGTATGTATTCATCACTACAAGTCTGTGCTCATCTTTTCCCTTCAGCTTTAGTGCTTTCTGTTCCTAGCTCATCTGATCTTCCTATTCACTCTCCTCCTCATCTGTAGCTCAAATACTCCCATTGAGTTGGTTCTTACATACATCTAGTGATGCTTTTCTTGGACACATCCTCAGTGATAGTGCCTGAGCTCATCGGGGGTTTCGGGTCTTTCAACTTCAGACCCCCTCACTCAGGTGACCCGACCGGGGTGATCAGTTCCCGGCCCGTGTCCAAGAAGCACTCAACCACTGCTTATCCCTCTGGATCCACAGCCATTGCGAGGCTCTCTCTGCAGCCTCAGAGGCTGTAGAGATGGCTCTCCTCTTCCGTGCCCCTGTGATGCCCAGGAGACTGTAGGCCTTGCAGAGTGATTTCCCTGCAAAGCCTCTTCCCCCCACCTCAATCGGTAGGCATCGTGCACGCCACCCCCGTTTGCGGCACTCCTCCACCAGCTCTGCATATTTCTCTCTCTTTCTCTCATTTGCTTCTTCCATTCTCTCCTCCCACGGCACTGTTAGCTCCAACATGATGACTTGCTTGGATGTCTCTGAGACTAGGACGATGTCTGGCCTAAGTCTGGTTTCCACAATGTTTTCAGGGAATTTCAGTTGTTTTCCCAGGTCCACCCTTAGCTGCCAGTCCTTCCCTGTTCCCAGGAGGCCTGACTGGGCTTTAGGTCGGGGAGGTGGTTGATCTCCGGCTCTTACAAAGGAGATTTCACGCCTTGATGGTTGTAAGCGTTTGCTCTGGAAGATGGCAGTGTTGATGGACTCAGCAACCGCCTTCAGCACACGATCATGGCGCCAGCGATAGCGGCCTTCACCAAGTGCTTTAGGACAGCTGCTGAGGATGTGCTCCAGGGTTCCTCTTCCTTGGCACAAGGGACATGCTGGAGTTTCAACCTTGCCCCAACAGAAGAGGTTCGATGGGCTGGGCAGGACATCATAGACAGACTGAATGAGGAATTTAATGCGGAGGGGTTCAGCCCTCCACAGCTCGTTCCACGAGATTTTTCTGTCTGTGGCTTCCTCCCATCTGGTCCATGCGCCCTGTTGCCTCAATCCCACCCACTGGCTTGCACGCTGCTCTTCAATTCCGGCCCTCACCTCGAGCTGGACCTGGTCCCGCCTCTCCTTGCCCTTGAGCTTGTTGTACCGGGTTGTTGGAATGGTTCCCAGTCCTGCACGGCCGGCAGCCACCGATCCCACGAGGTCTCTGTGGCACAGCCGTGATTCTGCCTGGTCCACAGCCTCCTTCGCTCTCCACTTTCTGCCAGTCCTCACCTCAATTCCTGCTTGGGAAACCTTTGGGTCCTTGGATTCCCTGTACTGGAGAACCTCCCTCGCTCTGGCAACCATGAACTCCTCGGTGAGGCTGTTTATGGGGAGAGTCAGCTTGTTCTTGTTGCCGTAAAGGGCGATGCTGCTTAGGCTTCTAGGCAGACCCAACCATTGTCGCAGGCGGCTGCTGACCCTCCTCTCAAACCCTTCCACAGTGGAGATGGGAAACTCATACACCAGCAATGGCCACAGAATCCTAGGCAGGATGCCATGCTGGTATACCCACGCCTTGAATTTCCCCGGAAGACCTGACTTGTCGACTGTGGTCAGCCAACTCTCCAGCTGTTCGTTGGTCGCCCTGATGGAAGCGGCATCCTTTAGGGAGCAGTCAAAGGTTTTTCCGAGGCTCTTCACGGGCTTCTCTGTGACTGATGGAATGTGGGTACCCCCTAGAGAGAAGTGGAACCGGTCAGTCACCTTCCCTCTCTTCAGGACTAGAGACCTGGATTTTTCAGGCTTGAAGCGCATCCGGGCCCAGGTGGTCAGCCTCTCCAAGCCCTGGAGGATCCATCTGCATCCTGGGACTGACACTGTTGTTACTGTCAGGTCGTCCATAAATGCTCTGATGGGGGGCTGACGGATTCCGGACTTGGATTTGGGGCCTCTGCACTCCGACTCGGCAGACTTGACCAGCATGTTCATGGCCAGGGCAAAGAGTATCACTGAAATGGTACATCCAGTGATGATCCCTTTCTCCAGTCGATGCCGTCCAGATGTAACTGTGCCGGAGGTGAACCTCAAGTTGAAGCTGTTGTAATAGTCCATGATGAGGACTTTGATGTTGCCAGGGACATGGTGCCTCTCCAATGCCACCTCCACTAGCTTGTGAGGTATAGAGCCGTACGCATTGGCCAGGTCTAGCCATAGTACAGCTAGGTCTCCTTTCCCCTCTCGAGCATCCCTGATCAATTGTGTCACCACGCCACTGTGTTCAAGGCAACCCGGAACCCCTGGGATTCCCCCTTTTTGCACCGAGGGGTCGATGTACTGGTTCTTCAGGAGGTAGTCTGACAGCCGGTGGGAAAGAATACTGAAAAATATCTTCCCCTCGACGTTAAGCAGTATATGAGTATATAATTATATGTCAAATGACATCATAATCTCTGTTTTTGCTTACAACTGACCTTTTGACCTCCACAACTACTTATTACAGTCAGTAGGTTGTAATTAATGTCTGTCACAGACCACATTTGGAAGTAATGATAACTTTAATCCTAATTCATTTATAATTAACCTTTGGAAACAATTGGTGGCACACAGGCTCACATTTGAATAAAGTTAATTAAAAGACAAAGAGGATGACTACTATGAAGATTTCACTCTTAGAAAGAGCAAATAAAAGCTCAGTGCTTGATTAAGAGTTTTTTGAAGTTTATGAAATAGACTCAAATTCATACAGAAGCCTTTTTATGATTTACAAAAGCAAATAAAACCATGAGCTTGAAGATTGTCTAACTATATATTGTTAGTATTAATGCCTGAATATGAGCATGAGAGTATATGTCAGCTGAAGCAACATCCTTATTCCCCATAAGATATTTACAATATATGATTCATGTCACTGTCAGCACTGTCAGAGTTTTTTTTCTTTAAATCCGGGAGTCACACTACCTCGGCAGCAAGATGACAATATAATTATATTCAAATGATGCACTTGAACCAAGATAATACTGCAAGTCTGGTCTCTCTATCAATATCGCTCTGTACAATAGTGTAGCCAGGCTACAGACTCAATGCCCTGAGGCACTAATAATAATATCGGACTTCAACCATGTCACCCTCTCCTCTCACCTGACTGGATTCAAAGAGTTTGTGAACTGTCCTACCAGAGAAAACAAAACCCTTGATTTGCTGTATGCCAATGTCAAAGAAACCTACAGAGCCACTGCCTTACCACCACTGGGCAAGTCAAACCATAACTTGGTCTATCTGCAAACCTGTTACAGACCTTGTGTACTGAGGCAGCCTGTGACCAAAGTCAAAATAAGAAGATGGACACCTCAAGCTAGCGAAGCTCTAAGGGACTGTTTTAAATCAACAGACTGGAATGTGCTGCTGGAAACAGACATGGATAGTATGAATACTGATAAACAGGTTGACTGCTTTACTGAATATGTCAACTTCTGTAGAGACACAGTTATACCTAGTGCTGGGCGATAGGAAGATAGATATCGTGGGCACGATAGAAAATGTCTATCGTGCCATTTCTATTTTTATCGTTTCGGGCGATAGGCTGTATTTTATCCATAGGGCTTGTGCCATCAGATGATTCATAGTAACAACAACAATAATTGCACATTCAGTAAGTGTATTTGGTGTCAAACGGGAAAGAAAACAATATTTTCTTACAAAGAAAAGGATGCGTTGACATGTAGGCTCGCATTTCTCTTTCGATTTTGCGACATGACGCCGCTTTACGTGCCCTCTTCGCGTCCAGCGTCTCCCGCCGTTGCGGGTTTCCTGGGTTACACACGTGAGGGGATCATTGTAAGCAGTGCATAATTTGTGCCGGAGCAAGCCGGAGCGCACTCCGGGACCTCTTTTGATCGAATCCGGGACCTATTTCAGCCGCTCCAGCACCTGTTTCATCTGCTCCGGGACCTTCCCTGTAGAGGATGACATTTTTCAGGAATTCCCGTGGGTCACGTGATTCCCGCGGGACTTCCACGGGATGGGAGTCATTTTTTAATTAATCCCTTGATCGGGACGGGACGGGAAAAAAAGCAATGGGAGTTGGCAGGAGCGGGAACAACATTAATAGATTATCATTTTCAGCTGTGTTAAACAACCAGATGAACAGGTGCGTCCATTTTTGTAGTCATCTCTCAGTGAGAGCCAACACTCTTGACCGCGCTAACAACACAAAAGAACTACAACAGTGGTTTGACTTCCTGTCAGCTGGGAGCGCGGCTGCGCATTTCTACCCTTCAAGCCAGGAGCGAGGAGACGTAATTTTGTGACATTCTGTAGTTTTTCAATCATTTCTGGAGTCGTGGCGAATCAAATCACCTTACCTGTCTGCCCCTGATAGGTGAATAAAGCGCTCGGATTCATGCTCGGGTCTTGCTACGTGCTTCAAGAGTAAAGTAAACAGCAACGGAGGCAGAGAGCAGCTTTGGAGGAGAAACATCCAGCAGTGTGAACAACCTCTTCAAAAGAGCCCTAAAGACCTACCTTTTTAATAAAACCTTTGGTTAGCTTTCCTCTATGCTTTTACTACCTTTCCTCTTACATTGCAACTCTATATTCTTTATTTTTTTTATTCTTTTATGCTTTTTTTATGCCAATCTGTGACTGTCATTCTATTGCTTTTTTTATTGTTGCTGCTCTTTTTTTACTGTGTACTGTAGCACTTTGAGATTTTTTGTAAATGTAAAGTGCATTACAAATTAAATTTATTATTATTATTATTATGGAGTGCTTTGGCTCACACTATCGGCCTTTTCTGTGAGTGTTGCATAACTTTGGGTGAGCACAGACATGAACGCACAACAGCCACGTATTTTTTTTTTTCATTTTTCTAGTTTTAAGTGCTGGTCTTGTACTGGCACTGTACTAGGGCAGCTGTATACACTTTAATTTTTCATAGAACTGAAAGCATACCATAGCTATATCGTGGTATATCGTTATCGTGATATAAAATGATCCATATCGTGATATACATTTTTTTCCATATCGCCCAGCACTAGTTATACCCACAAAGACTGTTCGCTGTTTCCCCAACAACAAACCCTGGATCACAAGTGACATAAAAGCAATCCTTACCCAGAAAAGGAAAGCTTTTAAAGATGGTGACAAAGAACGACTCAAACAAGTGCAACAAGAGTTGAAGAGGAGACTGAAGATGGCAAAGCTGGAGTACAAAAAGAAGATAGAGAAGAATCTACAACACAGCAACATCCGTGAAGTGTGGAGAGGAATCAGTACCATCTCTGGACACAGCAGTAAAAAGAAAAGACAGCCAGTGGTGGGTGATCTGGAAAGAGCTGATGAACTCAACCTGTTCTTCAACAGATTTGACACTGCTGTTACACCCACTTCCACTGCTACTCCACCTTCCTCTCCACAACAAATCTCCACTACAACTTCTCCCCTTCCTCCTCCATCTTGTTCAAATGTCTCAACCACTTCAACTGCCTCCCTCCTAGAACACCAGTCCTTGTCTGTCACCGAAACACAGGTGAGGATGGAGCTTGGAAGACTTTGTCCTGGGAAGGAAGCTGGTCCAGATGGTGTGTGTCCAAGGCTGCTTAGAGACTGTGCTGCAGAACTGTGTCAACCTCTCCACAAGTTCTTCAACCTGAGTCTACAGCTGGGGCGGGTACCTACTCTGTGGAAAACATCCTGCGTTGTGCCAGTATCAAAAAAAAAAAAATGTCCCGCTGAACTCAATGACTACAGACCAGTGGCCCTCACTTCACACATCATGAAAACCCTGGAGCGGCTGATTCTACACCTTCTGAGGTCTGAGGTCAAAGACAAACTGGACTCCCTGTAGTTTGCATACAAAGAACACATTGGAGTGGATGATGCTGTCCTCTACATGCTTCACCGTGCTCTGTCTCATCTGGAGGAACCTGGGGTTTATGCGAGGATCATGTTCTGCGACTTTTCAAGTGCATTCAACACCATCCAACCCACCATACTCAAAGACAAGCTCACAGAGATGGGAGTGGATCCTTCCTGTGTTTCCTGGATCACAGATTACCTGACAGGAAGGCCACAGTTTGTCAGGCTGGGAAACTGTGTTTCTGGGACATTAATGATCAGTACAGGTGCTCCACAAGGGGCAGTGCTGGCGCCATTCCTGTTCACACTGTATATGTCAGACTTCAAATACATCACTGAGCCCTGCCACATCCAGAAATACTCAGTTGACACCGCTATTGTGGCATGTATCAGAAATGAACAAGAAGATGAATACAGAGCTCTGATAAGAGCCATCAGTGACTGGAGTCAAAAAAATTGCCTCCGCCTCAACACCTCAAAGACAAAGGAGATGGTCATAGACTTCCGTAGATCCAAATCCCCTCTCCAGCCAGTGAACACCTGTGGAGTGGATTTTGAAGTGGTGACATCATATAAATACCTAGGTGTACATCTGGATAATAAGTTGAACTGGTCTAAGAATATAGACGACATCTACAGAAAGGGGCAGAGCCGCCTCTTTTGCCTGAGAAGACTCCGATCAATAGACATCTGTAGTAAGATGCTGCAGATGTTTATCAGTCTGTGGTGTTGTGTTCTGTTCTATGCTGCAGTCTGCTGGGGAGGAAGCATCAAACACAAAGATGCAAGACATCTGAACAAACTGGTGAAAAATGCCGGCTCTGTGGTAGGACTTAAGCTGGACTCTGGAGGATGTGGTGGAGAGATCTACACTGGGAAAGGTGGAGACTATTCTCAAGAACATGGATCACCCACTTCACAACACCTTGATGGACCAAATGGCCAATGGTGGTGGACGGCTCCTCTCTCTTCGTTGCAGGACAGAAAGATTCAGAAGATCTTTTGTACCAACAGCCATTAGACTTTATAACTCTTGTGTAAATAGTAGATAACCTTTTGATACATATTATGTGAGACAACAGACAATTGAATTTCTCTTCAGTGATTAATAAAGTTATTCTTATTCTTATTCTTAATCAAAGACAGTAACATTTGTTCTAGACTTTTTGACATATATCTGCACTTATCATTTTCACTTCGACAGTTCTTATACTATAAGGGTCTTAAACCAACAGGTATGTCAGTCTTCATACCTGTGATCACCTCTTCCATCTGTTGCTTTACTTCCTGCCCAGAGAAACATCCTCTCTGAAGAATGAGGGAATTGTAGTCCACTGTTTCTGCCAGAAGTGAACACCCAACTGAAAAAAGTAAATATGTAAATAAGTATGTAAATATGTAACTGTCATATAAAAACACAACAGCTCCCATAGGATCAGGATCTTGCTTGGAGAGGAGGCTGAAAGATAGTTGGTTACATAGTTGATTGTTTAAAAAAAAAACAGCCAGGGTCATCACAAAATTAGCATTCAAATGAGGTCCTAGAGAACCACGTTTGGCCAATATTGACCAGATTGTATCAGTAGCACTACGACAACTACAGTAAAAGCATCTTATACATTCAAGAGTACTTACTGTAACCAACATCAAAGAGGAAGGCATCCACATGCACTGGTCTGTTTATTTGTCATTGAGAAAACAGAGAACACTGTGAGGGTCATGATTATGACTTCTCCAGTGCTTTCGACACCACCAGGCCGAGATCCTAGATAATGGACAATCTGATTGGCAAACCATTTCTCTTTATGCCTGCAATTCCTTATTCATATATTCTATTAATATTTGTATTTTCAAGAGCAAGTGTAATGCTGTAAAGACCCCCCCCCCCCCCCCATCAATGAGCTGCTCCTGTGTTTAACCTGAGATTGAACTAACATTAGCTGTTTCCTTTTACATTATTATGTTAAAAGAAAACACCATTTACAGTGTGCTCTCAGTTTGCCTGCATGTCTTCCTGTGGAGTGTGGAAAACATGCACCCTAATTTAAAGCAGTGAGGGAATGACATTGTGTTAGTGTGTGCACATGTCTTGAGAAAGTGTCGGTCTGATTTATGAGTGATGAACGTGCTGACTGACTGCATGCCTCACTGTGTGTCTTTGACATGTTATTTTTGTCCAAAGAGTGTTGTCTTTGTAAACTCATGGAAAAATCCAAGTGGCAGAAACATACCTGACACGGTATGTGGACAATCTGTCTTAGACACATCACAGTCATTCCTCCACAGTCCAAGACCTCCTGCGCATATGCAAACACCCTTCTATAGAGGGTTACTCTGTGAAGGTCAGCTTTGGACTGAAACCAGACAAGAAAACTATCAGAGTGGGGATGAGCCCACCAAATCATTGCATTGATCTCAAGCTGCAGAAAATTCAACAGTGTAATGTACAATACACTACAAGAACTGTATTTATCCCCAAAGTGAAATTCATTAACTCTGTCGACTGTAAATGCAATGCTCAAATTCATTTTTGTTGTCACGTGGGTCTAAAGCGGCTTTCTTTCTTCTCTGTTCAATCCAGTATACTGACCCAGTCACAGTCCTTTATTTAAATATAGGGTGGGTTATAGTCCCACTTATAGAAAATGCAGTTATTTTGTTAGACTGTGAGTTTTGGACATAACAATAACATAAAACTGTCTTGGTACATTCTCCACCCAGTCAACTGAAAACAGTATAGGGGCTATACACATAAGCTGGGTTCACAAATGGAGCTGATTTTATCCAGTGAAGATGGACATTAATGTGTGTTGGATCAGACCATTCCTCAATTTTTTGAAATGTAAAAGGTTATATTGTCAGTAAAAAAAAGGCATTATAAATTTTCAATATTATTCTGAGCAAATAGTCAACATGCAGTTTTTAAAATCCTCATCTCAAAGAAACGGTAAAGCACTGTAACTTGACCACAGTGTGCAGAAACATTCAAGCATACTCATTTACACCCAATAAAACAATACCACTGTCTAAGAGGTATCAAATACCAGCTCATTGTAGGAGGTTTTATTTTTACAAGGTCTGTTTGATGATGAGATCAAGCTGTTAAAATTAGAAAGGTGGAAAATAAAACATGACCTAGAACAAACAGAAGACAAAAACACCTGGAAGCTTTTGAGGTACCACCTGGAGTCTAAAGATGGAGACGTCATCGTGACAGAAGTAAATATTGACTGAGGCATGCTTCATCACACACACAAACACACTCGCTTGGTTTCTAAAGGTAAAAGAGCCATGATTGATGGACCACCTGACCCATACTAGAGTCAATATTGACTTTTCCTGAATGTTGGATGATGAGCTGACGAAAGCTATCAGGTTTCTTGTTGTGCGCACTGTCTCAGATTTTGAGTCCTGAGCTCTGTAAGACTCTTAGCTGAAGCTTAGTCACAGCTTGACTGAATTGTGCAATACACTGGTGATAAGATTGTCATGGGTGGGAAATGTCAACACAGGTAGTGATGGATTAGAGTTCAAGACCAGGGGCAAGACTGGGACTATATAAACACACAGGGTAATGAGCAATGAGAGACAGGTGAGACAATAAAAGACAGGCGCAGACAATCACGAGGGAACAACAGCAACACAGGGAGTCAAACTAAACCAGACACACAAGGAGGAGGAACTACAAAATGAAAGTGGAACACTGATAACTGACCACAAGAATAAAACACTAAAACACAAGGGGCTCTATTTTCGTGTCCGCTGGTGAGGCAGCGGAGGGTGGCGGACCCCACGCAGTGGTATTTTTGTCTGGCGGAGCCCGGCGTACAGCCAGTTTGGTATTTTCGTGGACTGAGGCGCACTGAGGTCCGCCAAGCTGGGTGTGGTCGCGTGGCAGAGGGAGGTGTCGACAAAATCAGCTGCCGCAGTGACATCTTCGTGCTCACCGCTGGCGTATAAAGTGCGCTGAAAGCTCACCGATTTAAACCTGGTCAGCTTTCAGCGCAGGCGAAGCGCAGCTGGTCTAGTGGTATTTTGGTAGACTGGCAGCATATCGGCATACGTCACCGATGCCTCAGCAGCAGGTTTCCACAGTGTCAGGCACATTTCAGTGCAATAAATAATTATCAACAACTAATAATCTGAGTCAGGAAATACATTTAGATCTATATCGATATATTCTGATCTATATCTGATCTGATGAGAGCGTTTGGCATGCGTTTGGATACACAACCTGACCGAATCAACACAGCTGAAACTGCATTAAATTAGATTAAATATCTAGTAAATAGACACACATGATGAAGTGAACAAGATATGTAATTCGTCTCCCTCCTTTTCTTTCTTCCTCTTATTTCTCACCTGGACATGTCCCCGTGTCCTCTCCCCCGTCCTGCTGCAGCTGCTGCAGCTGCGGCTGAACAGATGATTTGTTTCAGTGATCAGATGAGTTATTTACTTTAAGCCTACATAGGAATATTATAATATTCAGTTTCGTGAGCCAAATTTATTGTATATGCCAACATCTATGAAAGAAAGGCCATGGAGCGCGATGCGTCATTATGCACAGTTGGTTCCGATTTTAATGCCATTATTGGAATTTATGATGTGATCTCTGCGCTCAACCCACCTTTGTCACGTGAGGTTTGAATATGTTCAACTTTATGTGAGTGTCTTTATTTGTGGAAAAGGGTGTTTGTCTTACCAGTGGGTCCAACATTACACACACCAAATCCATCTGTGCTCATATGAGACAGTATGAAGGACATCTTCTGCAGCGTTTACAGCGACACTTGTTGTGGAGCTGCCCTCTGTCACCATCGTGTGGCATTGCTGTCTTCAGATATCTCTTGATCTCTTTGACTACTTCACGAAAATAGTAATACGCCTCACCGGTGGCGGATTTAAAGGCGAGGACAGGAGCTGATGTTATTGGTCAATACAGGTCTCGGCTGTGTTAAACCCACTCCACGCCCTCTCTCCTCCCTCGCTATGACTTGCGCTGCTGGGAGGAGCTGAGTTAGGGAGGGGGGATACTTACACCGGGCTGCGCCGCTCACCAAAATACCAAATTGTGCTTGGGAACGCCTTGTCGGCGCGGCGGACCTGACTTACGCTGTGCCTGCGCCGCGTCTCCGGCGAAGCATGAAAATAGAGCCCAAGAACAGGATTATTGACACATGGGAAACAATGAAACAGGAACACAGGGGAACTACACAACAAAAATGAAACAAAAAAATATATAAGAAAAAAACAAAACCATATAAATAAATCATGATAGAAATAATGTTATTTGATAGAATAATGTAGGCTATATTATAACTTTAGCAGTCAATTCTGTCATTTGGACCAAATCAAAACACAAAATGCAGTAATCACCATCTTTGGCTCATCTCAGCCAAACTATGTGTCGGGATCATATAAAGCCCAAAGACAAACACTGACAACTAAGAGAAACGTGACGTTTTAGTTTCAAAATTGCTATGGCGAGGAAATGACACTCACCTAATATCCGATGATGGTGTTGAACGAGAATCAATTGTCTGACTGTAAGAACAGTTGTCCCCGAGCATGGCACCTTGTACTTTTCAGAGCCTCCACCCATGAGCTTGTTTGTTTTACTCCAACCAAACTCTCTCTATTATATAATATTATAATATTTCCAACTGCTGCCAGAAAGAATACTAAACAGTGTCCCTTTTAGCTGCTCAAGCTTGGCAAAGAATACATTGATATCCTATTTTATTTCCAATTTCATAGGCCTTGAGTATGAGATGCAATACATTTATGAGAAAGGTTAAACAGCACAACAAAACTGGAGTACTTAAAAAGAAACTGTTTTCGAAATTTCCATTAAGAAGTATTTTGTGCCAAGTTTTAAAAAAAGATCATTTTCAGCAGAAAGTAATCCAATGCAGATTGAGAAAAAAGGAAAACTAGTCAAGAATGATCCATTGCCCAAAGTCAATCAAAAAATAACCTTTTAGTTCCTCTGGCTACAGTCGAGATAAGCCTTGTGTTTTCATTGCTCTTCAATCTGAGGTGTCAGGGCTCTATAACAGCAGTGAACCTGAGATCAGCATCTGCATCTTTTAGTGCCGATATGGCAGTAGGCTGGGCTGTGTGCAAATGGGCTGAGGTAAACAGAGAGGAGAATGATGTAAGCATGAAAAAGAGTAACTTTTTTTGTTTTGTTTTTTACTTTTGACAAAACTGCTTATAAACAAAACAAACAAACAAACAAACAAACAAAAAAAAAAGCAACCAAGTGATTCCTGAGTGTCTGATGCCCTACACATTACATTACTGCTTAAACAAATTGTTTTTTTTATTTGTTGTGTTTTTTGGTTTTGTTTTTTTAGCTAAGCCGTGTGTTGATATAGGAGCCTTAACATTAAGCCATTTTGTAACCCTCTCAGAGATCTAACAATAAATGAAAATATAGATGTGAATTAAAGAGCAAGAAATTAGGTCAATCTCTAGGAGCCTGGTGGGTGCCAGTATTTAAAACTGGACTAAATATATATATATATATATATATATATATATATATATATATATATATATATATATATATATATATATATATATAATCTTTGTTTGTTTGTTTGTTTTTTTCTTGTTTTTTTGCAGTGTAGACATTACCCACTCAGCTGGCTATCAAGCAGTGCATGGGAAGCTTATATGTTTTAGGCTTTCTTTTTTCTTCTCAGTAACTAATGATTTGTAAATATTACAGGACTCTCCATAGAAACAACTTCAGTAAACATAAATGTGCTGATTTTAAAATCTAAAAAGAAATGTTAAAGTCCATCAAAAATGTACTTAATTCAGATCATATGAATAACTGTAAATCCTTAGCTTGTACCCCTCGATATGGGACTATGGAGACCAAACCAGACATAGAAGAATTGTTACCCATTCAGCCCATAGAAAGAAAGACAACTTAAGAAAAGGTGAAATTATTGCTGTTGGTCTTCAGACCTTGACACATTTCATTTGTTTGGATGTCAGTTCTTGGCTGTATATTTTTGTCCAGTATCAGTACATCTCATAGTGGTAACCAGCATAAAAAATCATCTGTGCAATGTACAGCACTTGGACTGTGAGGAGTGAGGAGTTTCAGTCAACATCGTCAGTCTGCTGCTACCTTTATATAGTGGATGTGCCAGAATCCAGTTCTCATTGCCAGCCATGATCTAAAGTCTGGCTCCTGTAGTTGCAGCAGTCAGAAACACACTGCCTTTGACCTTTTAAAGGATGACAGATAACTGAAGTAATAGCTTTGTCTGTATGTGTACATGTGAGAGTTGTGTTCTTAATTTGTACTGTGTTTCTAAAGAGGTAATGTCGAAATGGATGATACAGAGCATAAAAGTTAATGTGAAGTGCAAGAATATCAGAAAGAGGGAGAAAATGGATCATCTGAGTTGATGTGATGTGGTATGAACTTCTGTAAATTTAGCATGACAGGAGCCAGTTTTACCTAATGTGATAAGGCGCATTTAAGTCTATATGTGCTCTATAAGAAGCCTACAAGGTGGTAAGGGAATCTAAGACTATACGTGTCTTGTGATATAGTGTGAGCACTAATAAAAAGCTATTTCTCCAGCCCTTTTATTGCTGTTATAAAGGTCATGGGCAGCATGTCTTGTAGGGGAATGTCCTCTGTTGAGGTCAACATCCTACCCCGTATCCTGTCCCATACTGCATCTTTAGATATCAGCGGCCACATACTGAACCTCCAAATGCCTTCACCCACCCACCAACACACACCCACACATAAACACAGGCTTACACTTGCTGGCTTCATCTCAAGCAGTCCATGGGCTAAGCCACTTGTCTCTCTTTGACAACATAAATCTGACGGCTTTCCTGGAAGGCGGGGCAGTGGAGCACGGTGACAGCACAGGTGCAGCCATTCTCTGTGCCTCACAAACCCACAGGCATGCTAACCACACATACACACACATGCATGCATGCACACACACACACACACACACACACACACTGTATCTCAGTGATGTCATGGTGCAGTTTCTGAAAGGTTATTTGGATGGCATGTACTTCACTGCGTGTTGTCAGCGGTTGTCTTTTGCCACCTGACTGATGACAGAGCAGACGGAGAGAGTCTGGCACAGCTGTTCAGCCCTGTTTAGAATCAAAGAGATCCAGTAGAGCTTATGGACTAATTCTGCAGTATGAAGCACAATTAATTAAACCTGAAGGTAGAAATGGGGTGAAGTAATACTGTGATGATGAATGAATGAATGTTACTTGTACAGCACTCTCAAAGTGTTTTTGAAAATCAGGTATTTTCAGGGCCAATCAGGGATGGGGACTGTTAATTTTCATTAATACTGACACTATTACCAAGACTTCCTAATGATTCCTGTCACTATCAAATACTGCTACAATGGGCTCTATTTTTGTGCCCACCAGCAGCGCGATGGAGGGTGGCGCACCCTGCGCAGTGGTATTCTCGTCTGGTGAAGCCAGGCACACAGCCAGTTTGGTATTTTCGTAGACTTAAGGTCCTTTCACACCAGGACTGTTTTTTTCGTGTGATTATTTCGAACGACAGTATTTTTTTTCAAACCAGTATCTTGTCAATACAAGCGTTCACATCAGCAACGTTTTCCCATGGCCGACACAAAGACACAAATATTACAAAGATAACAACCTGAAGGACAATTTGTGGAGAGTCATAGCGTTACATTTCTCATATGACGATAGTATGTGTGCTTTAACAGTTTGCTAAACATCTTTGTTTTAACTTTCATCTGTGCTGAGTAACTTTAGCTCGTAAGCTAACCTGTTCAGATACAACATACCATATGTATTTTCACTGTCTCAAACTCAATCGTGTTGCTGTCACACCACCATTAGGTCTCGTTGTTACCTTACGTTTATGGATTATTGTTTAATGTGCTTATCTGGTACTGGCCCCAACTCAGTACATGCTATCATGATAGAAAGCCATCTCAACACTAGTGTCTGATCAGAACTGAAAACAGTCAGTCTGCTGTTGCGTCAGTCTTCTCGCTTCCACCCAGGACGTGTCTTTTTCCCCCCAGAAAGCCGAAAAATCACATTGGGCTTTATTTGTATAGTCAGGAGCGTCAAAATTCTCCTCCGAATATTTCATGATTTCGCATTCCATATTTGTGTCAGCCCCGGTGTGTAAGGACCTTAAGGTGCACCGAGGTCTGTCGAGCTGGGTAGGATGGTGCAGTAGGGGGAGGTGTCGACAGAATCGGCTGGCGCAGTGACATTTTTGTGCTTGTCAGCAGTGTGGAAAGTGCGCTGAAAGCTCGCTGATTCAAACCTGGTCAGCTTTCAGAGCGGGTGGAGCGCAGCTGGTCAAGTGGTATTTTGGTAGACCCGTGGCATAGTGCACATGCATCACTGATGCCTCACCGGCAGGTTTCCACAATGTCAGGCACATTTCAGTGCAATAAATAATCAACAACAACCAATATTCAGTGCAACTATCTGAGTCAGCACATATACATTTAGATCTATACCGATATATTCTGATCCATATTTTATCTGATGAGTTCGTTTGACACGCGTTTGGACACTCAACCTGACCGAATCAACAAAGCTTAAACCGCATTAAATTAAATTAAACATCCAGTAAACAGTCACACATGATGAAATTAACAAGATATTTAATTTGTCTCCCCCCTTTTTTTCTCTTCCTTTTCTTCCTCACGCAGCTCGACCCAGACATGTCTCTGAGTCTTCTCTCCGTCCTGCTGCTGCAGCGGCATGGCTGAACAGATGATTTATTTTAGAGATCAGATTAATCATTTACTTAAAAAAATAAAAGAAACTTTTATTTAAAATAACCTGTTTATCTGATGTTTTCAAATCCTTAAAATTCTGTGAATATTCAATCCAGAGTTAGGCTCACATATGAATATTATAATATTCAGTTGTGTGAGCCAATTTCATTTTATATGTCAACATCAATGAAAGAAAGAGCCAGGCCACGGAGCGCGATGCATCCTTTAGGCACAAGTGGTTTTGATTTTAATGCCATTATTGGAATTCGTTTATGTTGTGATCTGTGCGCATAACCCACCTTTTTCACGTTGGGTTTAAATATATGCAATTATGACAATTGCAATACGCCTCGCCGGTGGCATATTTAAGGGTGAGGAGAGGAGCTGATGTGATTGGTGAAAACAGGACTCAGCTGTGTTAAACCCACTCCAAGCCTTATCCCCTCTGTCTCTGCTACTTACACCCCTGGGAGGAGCTAAGTCGGGAGGGGGGATACTTACACCGGGCTGTGCCTCCCACCAAAATACCAAAGTGTGCTTGGGCAAGCCTTATCGATGTGGCGGACCTGACTTACGCTGCGCTTTTGCCACGCCGCCGGTGAGGTACGAAAATAGAGCCCATATACTAGTATTAGCCTGGGCGGGTCTATGTAAGAAGGTAAACTCACTCTTTTTTTAACCACTACTGGGGTCAAGTGTTTAGCTCTGTGAGTTGCTGATGGAGTGGTAATGGATAAGTAAACATACCAGCACCTGGATGTATTGTGCAGTCTCAAGGTGTTAATGAGCACTTCTAAAACTTTGGGTGGAGATTTTTAAGTCTTTAAAACTTTAAGACATCAGAGTAACAGACTGCACTGTAAAACCTAACAGTGTATTTCAATAAACAATATAAGTTTAAATAACTTATAACTCAAAAAATGTTGCAGTCACTCATCCCTATTAAGTTGACCTTAATTGAAAGTTAAAAGCTGAGGTTTTAACTAAGTTGTTTTGAGTTTTTATTAATTGTAGAGCATTATGAGTACTTGTAAAACATTTGAAGTTTGTTACATGAACTCTTTCAAGTTGAGTAGCTTTAATGAACTTATTGAACTTATGCTGAAAGTATAAGCCCTGCTAATGTGGGTAGGAAACCCCATTGCACCTTTGACACACGCCATGCCCTAATTCAATGGCCATTTTCAAATTGAACTATAGAGAGAAGTGGGACTGCTGTTCAACATTAATTTTGGCCCCTAATTGACTCAGATTGGTTTTATATTCAAGGTAAGTTGCTATTTTAAGATATAAGAAAGTCAAAAATATAAGTAATAGTTATGATCTATTAAGTCTTAATTATGGGAAAAGTGTCATATTTATGAGGTCAAAGGTTTAAATGTAGATACTGATTAATAACTTTATCTCATGATTTTGACTTACCATCTCAAAGATTACACTTTTGACCATAACTTTGACTTAATTTTTTGATAATGCTTACTTGCATGGGGTTTATTTTTTATCATCAATTCTGGTCATGTTAAACATGTCTTCTATTTTTAGGATAAGTCGGTGGCAACAAAAGCAGCAGTGGCTCTGGTGGCAGCCGTGAATGAAGAGGCAGCTGAAACCTAAGTTACAGGCTCTAAGAAATAAACTTGAGTAGGATGTTCAAGTTTTTGCATTGACAATAACATTGTCAGTTGTTGAGCTTGCATGCACAAAACTGGACATTTTGTGAACAACAGCATCTCATTGTAGTTTCTGATCAGTTTGTTGTATATTAAAAACGGCGATGTTCAGCTTAAAGTGTTTTACAACAATTGATGTAGTAGTTGTTACTGCACTTCACCTCTGCTTTAATCCTGTTTGGGTTACATTTTTTCATTTTTACCACAGAATGAAGAAAATTTTCTTCTCTATTTTGAGAGAAACAGTGTGCAGGAGTTTATCTATTTTTAGATGAAAATTTCAGTTGAGTCACACAGTGTTTTATTTTTGTTGTTTGACAAAGAGGGAAATATTGTCAGCATTAACATATGAGGTAAGAAACATCTGTTTGAGTTTGTTTTACAAAAATGTTAGGCTTGAAATGTTTGCATTTGTAATTCTGTTGAGTTAAACTTAATAAATTATTCACTTGTTCTAAACTTGTGTCATGTTGAGTTTTTACAACTTTGTGGGCAGCAGTAGCTCAGGAGATAGAGCAATCGCCCAATAACTGGAAGGTTGGCAGTTCGATTCTCGTCTGTCCGTTGTGTCCTTGGGCAAGACACTTAACCCACCTTGCTCCCAGTGTGTGTCCTCCACTGGTGTATGAATGTGAGTGTTGTGTGGTGGTGGTCGTAGGCACAAACTGGCAGCTGTGTTTCTGTCAGTCTGCCCCAGGGCAGCTGTGACCATTAAGGTAGTTTACCACCACCAAGATGTGACAGTGTGAGTGAATGTAAAGTGCTTTGAGGGTCTCTGATAAAGCGCTACATGAAATCTGATGCACTAATCAAATTATTTAAGGCTATTGGTTTCCTCATTTGAATTGAGTAGCCATAAGTTCTTTTAATAAGAATCTAGTAATTTGCTGCAGTGGAAGACTAAGCACTCAAAGGTTAAATTTGTATGGACTAGATTACTTTAAGTTACGAGTGTAGAAAAATGATTCATATGACTATGAAATAATAAAGAATTCATTTTTTTTAACTTAATTGAATTAAAAAGATGAACTAGTTACCAAGTGACCATAGCTTTAAATATTTAAGTTACTTGAACATAAATAAAGTGTTTTTTCATACTTAAAAAATATGAGTCAATAGACTGAAATGATTCAGGGCAATCGGTTTCCTCAAATCATTTGAGTTGAACTTACTCATCAGGTTTTACAGTGTGTAAGACTGTGCAGACACTGAGTATGTTTAGTATACTTGGTTTTGGTTAGGGTTAACATACTCACTACTAACAGGGAGACAGAAACAAGAGAAGCTCTTTTCCTGCTGCCCTTGTTGATAGAGTAGTGTATGATATCTGTGAACAAGTTTAACTAGCCTCATTCATACCTCTACTGGATGCCTTTGGGACTACTTTGGGGTTCACTGTTGTTCCAACTGTGTACAGAGATTAATAACATGACATCATCTGACAGCGAAGCCAAAACATTCAGCCATATCCCTGCTGACAGGCTGAGTTGGTTAAAAGAGCTGTGCTCCTTCATGTTAATGGCTAAATTATGAATCAAACTTGAGAAATTTAAATACATGTTCCTATCGTGCCATTTTGTTCAAGTATTTTTGGAGGAGGTTGCGTTTTAATTAATTCCTGATGCTACTTGTATATGTATAGTGATTTTATGCATAGCAGCTTTTGACAATACAAAAAAAAAAGAAAAAGAAGAAAGAAAATAAAAGCATTGTTGTACTTGTTTGGATACAACATGCTTTAGCCAGAAAACAAAATAGCCCAGAAAAAGACATAGGAGAGACAGCATGGCATGCAGTGGGTAGGATTAGTTTTAGCTTGTCTAAGACATATTTTGTTATGAGTGTTAGAATGAGTGCTAATGGATGAGGGCAAGAGACAGCTGCTGTTAATGGTCCAGACCAGACTGCGTGGCTCCTTACAGTGAGTTGCTGCAAATGGAATGACACAGACTGCTTTTTATACTTTTAATTAAATTAGCAGCTGGATTTAAGTTTACAGCAGCATGCTAGTGGGTCAACTGAATTTGAACTTAGTGCTTCAATGATTACTTTTAAGCCTTTTGGACACATTTAAACTAGATTAAGGACAATATGTTCATAAATTTTATCAACTTTTGTGAAATCTTATTGGTGCACTCTGAATAACATATCCTCCTATACTGAAATTTTAGATCATGTTGGTCTGTCAGTGCACACCCTGTGCAGTTGAAAGAGCAATACTAACACTCATGTGGAGTCATGTTTCTTGCCACAAGATAAATGTTCATCCAACAATATACTCTCCTCTAGTGCTCTGGCTGACTTCTTTGTACCTGCAGTTTTTGTATTAGGCAGTATGAGCAGCAGATTTTGATGCCATCAGTCACTTGCTACAACCAACAATAAGTAGCTGAGCTGGCAGCTTCAACAGAATAAGCTGAAAGGTGCTAAAACTTTCAGCTTAATCAACCTGCAAATGGAACTCTGCATTTTTGTCACAATTAGTATATTTTTCACATGTCAGATATCATAGTCACCATCCAACATTAAGAGTATTTCAGGTAAAAGGGGTTAAAAAAAAAAAGCTTGTGTAAGGATGGCAACATGCATGTCAAGTTTGATATTTTATAGTCCCTTCTTAAATTTTGGACAAGACCAACATAGTCTATTAAACATGAACAAAAAGGAGTTTTTCAGGTATCCACATGAAGACAAACTTGTAGAGTATTATTTAAAACACATTGCATATTTTTGGATTTCATTCCAGCTTTTAGGATAGAATCATTGAATGGGAAAATGAGATTCTTCTATCTTTAACATTTAGGCATTGTAATTTAATATTAAAAAAGCTGTTAAAGTGCATTGTTGGACCAAATACCTTCCATTACCTCTCATACCGTCATTCAAACCGTCTAAACTCACCTTCAAAGGCTGCTCTAGTCTTGCAGGCTGCAGGTGCTCATTTTGTATATTTAATCCCATGGTATGTTAAGAAGTGTCCTCCACACTGAGCCAACAAGTGTTTTTCTGTCTACCAGGGACATAGTGGCCCACAGCACTCCTCCCTTTCCACACAATGTAAAACAGCTACAATCGCCACACTGCCCCTCACTGCTCATACTTATTATCAGAGTGTGATGATGATTAGTCTGTAAGAGAGGGGAACAGTAGAGGAATGAACTAAGAGACAAAGGGGGGGGGGGTATTATTAGGGTTAAAAATATACCACAAAATTAGGAGACTATGTAATGCTGCAAATTAAATATATATGTTTTTTTAATCATAAAGACAGCTAGTTAGAGAGACTGGATAAATCACATGTAAAAGGTACATGGATTACATACCATATTCCCAAACCCCCTTTAGGGACACACACGTTTTTTCTCTTTTAAGGGTTATTTTTCTATTAATAAGCCATGTTGTTTAGTAAGTATTTTCAGTGAACAGGCCAGGCTTCAAATTTGTGATGTTAACTATTTTCCAGCAGATGGCCCCATTTACCCTTTTTGCTTAAAAAAAACAAAACAAAACAAAACAGTAAAAAATAGTTTCCCTGCAGGGTTCATTTTGTCAACAAAGACAATGACAGTAAATTTTCATTGATACACCAATTTTTCATGATTAAACTGGGGCAATGACGTAAAATGTCAGTAAAGTGAAGATGAAAATTGTGGCAAAAATCCAGTCCATGAATGCTCTGACAAAGTATGACGAAATGAAATTGTTGACCTTTTGGAGGACAAGCAGTTTGTTATCCAATCAAAAGTCAAACAAAACTCACTTGTTGGACTGAGTAGAGCGACTTGCCACGTAGATACAAGATGAGGGGGGAAAACAACAGTTTTAGGAAAATAAAAAGGTAATAACAAGGATCTTTGATGATCATCTGACATGAGCACACAATCACTCTCCTAATTGTATCTTCACTTAAATCAAGTTTCTTTTAATGGAATCAAGTCCTACTGATATGGAAGCATATTTGACAAACTTATCATAACACTAGTTGATGCTTAGAGCAGAGCAAAGCTCCATTAAAGTACACGTCCACCTCCTCCTTCTGATTTCTTCAGACTTATGAACTGTAAATTTATGTGTTCAAACAGTTTGAGCGTGCTCTCTTACCTTAAAGCCAACCACCATGTCTTTTGAAAGGTGGTCTGATTGGTTGGTGCATTTTTAACTCAAATCCATTGATCACTCCTCTGGTAATTAGAGGTTGAGAATTTTAAGGCTGAATCAGCATTTGCAGAATGCTTTGGAAGTTAAAATTTACCACAATGTGACATCATATCACTTCAAAGTACCCTGAGATAAGCCCCGATCCCAAGTCACACCAGCACAACAAAGTGCATGAGGCATTCAAGTGCACACTAGGTACCTAAAGACTGCAGTTAGCTACATGAATCCATCAAGTCCTGAAATCAAATACAACAACCACTCACTGTATATTTTCAGCACAAAGTGGTTATGGTGTGTTTCAATAATTTTAATCCAAACAATTGTTGTATTTTCCTGCATGATTAAGTGCAATGCTGAAAGTTAAAAATAATTTACCATCATTAAATGAGAAAAACCTTGGTTGAACAGGTGTAGTTTTTGCACCGGAAAAGGCTGTAAGCATGGTGTCCCACTCTGACAGTTTCCTGTTAAGCATAGCCTCAAGGTTGACCAGTCATGCTGATCCTCACATAAATGCATACAGATGATGTTAAAAAGTCTGATATCCATGCTAAACTTATGCAGAATTTAAAAAAAAGAAACATACAAATGCTGGCGAATGTGCAGACATGTTTCCCAGATTCTCTGAACAGCTCACCACAGTAACTCTGCAGGAACCTGACATCAGGCTTAGCTGTCCTGTTAGAACAATTTCGAAGGACATACCCATCTGGAAGCTCTGTCAAATTGTTTCTTGTCTAAAAGCTCACTATCTTCTGCTTCTCCTTTTGCTTGCCTCATTTGTAAACAAAGGCCAGTTTGAGCTGAGCACCTCAACTACCCCATAAGTTCTGTCTGTCTTTACATCACTGGAAAAAACAGCCACAATGTTATGTTTCAGGGAGAGGCGGAGTAGTGCTAAAACGAGGGTTTTCACAGAGGCTGATATATACACAAAACAGTTGTTTTTTGAGCTCAGATCATTCAAATCAACTTTATATGTTTCCTAAACTAAAATATGTAAAATATGATTGATCCCCTTATATAAACTGAAAGATGTGACACCATCTAAAATTCTGATAGAAAAACAAAGGTTTTCTATAACTGGAAGTCACCCTGATTGCAGCAATGTGTACACAGCATAAAACATAACTTTTTGGCAAATATTAGAAAGGACAGTGCAGTTACGGATTTCGCTGACCTCTGGTGCCATAAAGCTTCAGGACTCAGGCTAAAACAGCTGAGCTAAAGACTACATCTGAGTGTGCAGCATTAGTATCAGAAAGAAAAAAAACACTGATTCCAGAAAAAGTATACATAAAGGAATGGCTCACTATTACTAAAAGTTTTTTTTTTTTTTTAACTACTCAAGGCTAACATAGCACAAATGTTAGACAATCAGACTGCTATATATATATATATTTTGTTAATTTGTGATAAGATTTTTTTTAATAGTCATGAATATGCTACAAACTACGGAGTCAAAAAAAGGTGTTACAGTTTACAAATGAAATGAACGATAGCAGATGAAGACTTACGACATAAACAAAGCTGTCGGCTCACCCTGAGGTGCAATTGTTGCCTGCAGTCTTGAAGTTTTTCTGGTATAGCATGCTGCTCCTGTTTTCATGTCAGGCTATCTAAATGAAACTAACAGAGGTTACCAACTGCAAAAGAACTTATACTGCGCATACATGCATGCACAGAAGCACACACAGGCTAAGGCATGAGATGCAGAAAAGCAAACATGCAGAGAATTGGAGGAAGTGGTGGAATTGCCCACTTTCCTGATTGTGAGAGAGGTCAGCTACAATAACACATTTTTTGCCAACCCAATCCCAATTCCACTCAGAGCTTCCCAACAGTTCCTTTAAGGTTTAGGCTCTGGGGGGAAAAAAGTCATTATGTACTTCAAACAGCATATATCAAATACTTGATTCTGATAGATCAAAACCCTCTAAACAACAGTTGTTGAACTGCAAAAGCAACAGGAATGACCAGCAAGTTTATAAAGTTTACTTTTCACCTCCTTCTATTGCCACTGTGACAAAACTCTGAGGGCCTGATCTACTAAAGGTTTGCCTTCATTAAAATGCCGATTGTGTGTAGATCATCAGACTGCCCAAAATTCTGGGGGGAGCAGATGCAAATAGAATCATTTAGCAGCCGCAAAATGATTTATCAAACCCGGAAACCGATTGCGGTCGCTGTTTTGCGTTTATGTTTAGCACATTTGAAAGGCACGTGCAAACTGGCACATCGTTATGCACAAATGGCAGCAGTCATTGCTGGGAGACGGAGGCAGAAGTGCAAGAACGTTTTGCTTGTAAATGACTGTTTTGATAATTAGGTCAAACACGGAACAGTCACAAAAATTTATCTCATTGTCTCATTGATTTTAAATTGTTTGAATGTCTTTTTTTTTATTTCAAATATATTTTCCTGCATCTGAATTGCCTTGTGTATAAATGGTGCTATACAGATAATGGTTTCCCCAAAACGATTGGTTTAACTCCATGGCTTCAAACTTCATTTTTCATCTACGATCACTCTGCTCTCACAAACGTTCCATGGTGACAGCCAATAGCGCATGCACAATCCTTCTTTAAAGAGGGCGGTCTGCACCACTCTTGCACTTGTTATCAACTGCGCACGCAATAATAGTAGATCACCTGCAACACACCCACTAATAGTGTGCGTAATTTTTTAGTTTGCACACGCAATTTGACGCTCGCTATTTGGGATCTAAGTGGATCAGAGGCCTGTACTACGAAACTGGATTAACACACCCAGGATAACTCTGCCACAAATAAAAATAAATATAAAAACATCCTTCAAAGTGGTTAGTAGGTTTATAGGAAGATTTTATTTGTTCATACTTCAACATGTAGACAGTGAAATCCTCACACAGCCTTGGTGAGAGGCTTTTTTCTTTTTTCTCCATCATCTGATGGTCACATGTCATCTGCAGACACATTTGGGGTTAAGAGGAGTTTTCTAATCTGCTTAAAAAATTCTAGATGATGACTAATATGCTGCATAAAGCTGGAACTTGGAGCTTGGCAAATATTAGTACATTGCTTGGACTTCATGCGGCCTGAATATTGAGGCCTTCCGAGGAAAACCTGTAACATTCATAGAGAACTTCATCAGGTATGTCAAATGGCTTTGAACGATCACGAATATAACGCTCTCAGCAAAGCGCTCCTCTCACTATCTGTGCACCAATGTCCATGGGATCCAGCAGAAGTGGGCAAGCCATTTTCCAAGAGATCCGATTGGTCAGTCGGTGGTCTTTTATACTCGCTGAGATCTTATCCTGAATCCGCATAAGTTACTGGGGCAACGGACCCGCATAGAAAGAAATCCACCTTCTTTGTATGAAAAACCTTGGAGTTACTCCAGAAGTTATCTCACTAAGATCAAACCCAGCTTCGTAGCAGGCCTTACAGGCCTCAGGCCTAATTTCTGACAGTATCCTTTAACAACATCCTTTAATCAGAATCAGAATTAAAATACTTCCCCCCAGAAGAAAATCTGATCATTACACAAAAGTGCAGAAAAATTGAAATAAAGCTATACAGAAAGTACAGAGTGTATTGGTTGTGGTTGAGCTGCCATTTTCTGCACGCGTTAAGACGCTGATGAAAAATCTGGGTCACAATTTGCCTGGAAACCAAGAGCGATACAAAGCTGCTTCAAGCACTTTTGGCAAACGGTAAAGAAAAATCAATCACTTAAAAATACCTGAATGTAACAAAACAGTAGATGAATGGTTTGGAGGTATTGTAGTGATAGATGTTGAATGTTGGTTCCCAAAATGCAAACTAGACTGAGAAAAGTTTAACAGAATTTGTTTAAGGGGATGTGCATGAGAGGAGAGGGTCCAAGGTCTGAGCACGGTGAGCAGGAATCCAAGAGAGTGAGCTGGGTTGTGGGCTGGAGAGAGGTGCAGTGGGAAGCACAAGGGTTGTCAAAAAATCCAGTAGCACCAGAATCACAATGAGCTCTGAGGGGCCATTGTACCACAGCCTGGAGGCGATAATACTCTGGCGCTGAGGCTTGTGTCTGCAGCAGTCTTAAAGCCGGCTAGATTGCAAAGTGGAGATAGGTGAGTGCTCACAGCCTCAGCACTGCAGGGGGGGGGGTCTCCGGAAACAGGTGTGTGCACTCAGCTTCAGCATGGCTGGGGGAAGGAAGAAGCCTCTGGAGAAAGGTAGAGTAACAGCACACTCCCCACTCAGAAAACAGAATCCACAAAAATAAAATGTGCACAGTCCATGCTCACCACAAATGTGACATATGTAAAATGTAGAAATTGATGTATTCACTTCTGGGACACATGAATTCCACTTATAACCCCACTGTGGGCAGATTTTGTATGAATCCACCAACTGTACATTTTCCCAGTCCCTCAGAAGATGAAGCAAAAATGTCAGCTCCTCTGTTATTATGAGAATAGTTTCACGCTTGTATATTTGTGTAAGAGGCATAGCAAATTATTGCTAAAAAGTTTACAGGGGTTTATTGCTGATACCCATAGATCTGTATGGATGTTTTCAATTAATATGATCATTTTGCCAATAACAGGTTTCATTGACGTTGCAGTAACAAGGCTGTAGCACAGGGTGGAGACAGAGAGCCTATTTGATTATCATGTAAAATTCCAAGTTGGTTGTATTCTTTAAAACTCCCAGCAGGTGGCAGTGTGGAGTTAACATTAAACACGGGGTGGGTGCTGAATGTCCACTGGAGGCATTCTTACCTTAACCCCCAAGCTGTGTTTCACACATGAAACCAGTCTGTCTCTCTCTCTCTCTCTCTCTCACACACACACACACACACACACACACACACACACACACACACACACACACACACACACACACACACACACACCAGCAGTGTTCTGAAGCAGGGTTCATTCAGGGCTTATCTTGGCTTTCTATTTTAGAGCTCCACCCTTAACAACTCTAAATGGACTTAGTAACTCCACCCCACCCCCACCCTGCTGCAGGACTGCTGCTGTGTTTTTGTATATTTGAGTGTTTCTTGTGTGCAGAGGTGGGACAGAAGAAGAGAAAAGATATGAGGGAATCAAAAGGCTGCGGCCCAGGGAGGAAATGTAGGTCATGGTAGATAGGAGGGAGGAAGAACTGAGGAGAATACAGATGGAGGAAGACAAGACAAAAGAGGAGAGAGGACAAGACACTTGGCGTCCCCTACTCCCTTGTGTCCTTTTGCAAGAGCAGGAAAGATAAAGGGATGGAGAAAGCAGATCAGCACAAAATCGATCACAAGTGCACCTCCTGTGAGTGCAAGTGATCTGACCAATCAACAACAACCATTAGATTAGGATGCTCCCTCCTCTCTCTCTCCCTCCACAAAGATGTGACCTAAATACTAAATCCAAAAAACTGCAAAGAACTACAAAGAACTGCTCACTCTATGGGTGCAGGTGTGTAAATGGGCGTGTGTGGAGGTTTCATGGTAAATGTTGCATCAGTCATGAAAGCTATAGTGGGCTTCTGCAGCTCAAAGCCTTCCCTTCCCCTGTTGACATAGCAACCACTGAGTCAAACCAGGATTATCAAAGAGAAGCAAGCCTGATGATCCACTTTGTGTGTGTCTTTCTCTGTTTGTGTGTTTGCTAAAAACAGTGAGATCATTTTTATGGTGTACACTCATGGCACTGCTGCTAGATCAGAGGTAGCAGCTGTGCCTGCAAGCAAAAAACCCCAAACTAAAATCTGTTATCAAAAGAAACACAAAATAATGTTGAATTCAAGAGCAGGATTCACAATTAAGGGCATTTAAGAGACATTCAACGCAAAGAGAAAAATATAAAAGATAAAAAGAAAAGATGTGAGAAAACGATAAAATGGCGGTTGTCTGTTTCCTCGATCATCCATCAGAGCCCTCTGCCCAATGACACCCTCTAACTTTGATTTTTTTTTTTCTTTTTATTGTAAAGTTAAAATGTCACAGCCAATCATAAGACATGACATAATGAAGGAGGAATTCAAGCAAACAATCCAGCTTTTGGTTTTGGGGGCTCTGCCAACCTAATGTACATTTTCACCAATGCCATTATGCACGCTGTGATTTTGAGCCAGCTGGGGCAAAACAACACAAACTTTTATAAATTCTGTTCTTGAAGTTATTTCTCATCTGCTGGTTTTATAAAGGGCAAAAAGGAGAGCTTAAAATAGAATTCAAAGTCTTAGCGTACATTAGCATACTCTACTAATGATCATATTTAAAGCTTTTTATGGTGGGATGTAGAGAGGGGTATCTGAGGGTATTTCAATTCATGTAGGAGTTCCTGATTTCACATGTAGAGCACAATGTGATGTTTATGTTCTGTACTGTAGGTGGGTGGCAAAGAGCATATGGTTTCTTCATTGTGCCAAGATGCCTCCCACTTAAACATTTTTGGAAGCAACTTAAAGGCGGTAGCTTGTCAATACATCTGAAACAAACATGTCATACAGTATATCGCACATCCCCAGGAACATTTTATTTTGGCATAGGCCTGAGAAACTGCATAAGAAAATTATGGCTTACATCTTTACAGACACATGCACGTCACAGGGCCTTGTTTGGACCTCAACA